CCCATCTCAATTTGATTTGATTTCTCAAAAATGCGGTTGAAATATTATTTTAATCTAGTGTCACAATCTTGCCACTCTGAGCCGGAAGAGACAAAATATCGAATCGAGCAAAGAGGAATAAATTGTTGTTCAAAGAATCAAAGGTTTATTGGGGACATTTTATATCAGCTGTTATGAAAGTCATCGTACTTGTTTACAAACTAGTCAGCTGATTTTATTGTTGTCTGAAGATGTTATTGTTTATTCAATGTAGTCAGTTCCTCTAACTTTTTACACTCACTTTTAAAGTGTACACTTAGTGTAATAGGTTAGTTATAATAACATTAACCGTTGGTTAGTTAATTAACTGGTATTATGCATTAAAAAGTTAATTGTTTTATTTGCACTTTCGTATTTATATTTTAGGAGTTATTTTTAATGTTTTTAAGAGCTTAAAACAAATAATTTAGTATATAAAAGTGTTTTTGTACGGTTATTTAGTTATTTAGATGTATATTTGTATAGCAAAAACATGTGGAAATGTGTAAGATCCCGTGTCTAGTAGTCCCCAGGAGAAGTTTGATGAAGTGAGGTGACGTGATACTTGTGTCAAGTCTCACTGGGACGTCTCCATGTTTCGCACTTCTTCTCTTTTTTGTATTTGCTAAGAAGTAACTCTTCTCTGCTTGTGGTTCAATGAGAATTCAACTAATTCTTGTTTGAATTAATAACTAAAGTCTCAATTGTTTTTTTGTCTAGGTGTATCAAGGGGTTGGCATTAGATAAGAAATATACAAAATACAATAGATAAAACATTAAACATAGTCACAATCAATGTTTCTTTTGTCTAGGTGTATTTTGGGCATGAAATATACAATGGATAAAATATTAACTTAAATCTTAAATGCTTGATGTCTTAGTGCATTTTGGAATTAGCCTTCAGCAAAGAAAGGTAATATTATTCAATTACTTTTAAAAATTTAACTAAATTTATTATGATTGGTAAATAGCTCCTGCATTTCTAAAGAAAATAAAATCCAAGAAAATGTTTTAAAGCCTTATACAGGTTAACCTGAAGTGGATATTTCACACTGTAATCGCATTTTATAATTCAAAATTCTTGATTGAGTGTTTTTATACAGCTTAAGAGTTTCTATAGTGGCTATAGAACGAAGGTAGATCCCACACATTGTTTAGAAATTTTACAATAAAAGTCCTATATTTGATCAAATCCATTGCAATGAATTTAGAGTGATTTCTGTGATACATAGAATCAGCCTGCATTGAAATTTTATTTCAACATTTGTAGCACTTTGTAGCAACGGGTGATACACTAAAATAACCACAACGGAAGTTACACTAGGTCATTACAAAGGAAGGTAAATAACTTATTGATCAGCATCGTACGTGTTATTAATTTACCTGAAGGCACAAAAGATAGTCAAATAACACTTATAATAATATATTTACACTTAATACTGTTTACTCACAAGCTGATCAAACAATCATCACAACAATGGCAATCATCACAAGGACACTCCAATCATCGAATCATTTATTGGGTCTGATGATGATTGGAGTGTCTAATCGAAATCGTTCACCACTTACCATCTTGTATATGTATTTACTATCTCGTGAGTAAACAATATAAGGGTAAATATATTATTATAAGTGTTATTTTACGTATATTTTGTGCTTTCAAAGGAAGGTACACTAAATTACCACAACGTAATTATTATTAGATCACCATTAGATTATCATTTTCTAATGTCTAATTATCATTACCATAATAATAATTTCTAATGTCTATTGTCTAATTATTTTTATTGGACATCATTTCAACAAATTGCTTGCTATCTCATGAATATGCATTGAAAAATGACAAAACGTGACCTCTTATCCCCATATCTTTTAGTTTGAATGGATGCCTCATCAAAAGCCTTCTTCAGGTCCATTGGTATTCATATCGTTACGATCAATTATTGAATCTATTATACCTTTAATAAAACTTGATGCAGCTGTAAATCGTCGATCTGCCTGAGCGAAAACCATGTTGGCCTAACTGAGGGTTGTTATTTTCTATCAACAACACTAGCCTTATTTTCATAGAAGTTATATTGGTCGATGATTTTCTACGCATTGAGAGCCCTCCTATTTGAAAAAAGGCCTTAGCAGTTTTTAATTATTTTTCACCACACTATGATGTTTTTAGCTGTTTTACTTACGTTAATTGGTGGCTGAAAGTTAAGTTTTGCGCCATGCCAACTGTCATCGTCATTTGAGGACCGAGCAGGTTTTAACATCCCTGGGGCCGCAAAATCAACTGTTCGCTTATTTAAACAATACGCTGTATCCATAGCATTGCAATAGTCTTGTTTTTTGTCACCGCTGCCTAGCAACTGTTTATTATTATTTTTGCTGATTCCTCAAATTATATTTCTTCGCATACCCTGAAAGTTGTAGTTGTGTGAAGGTTAGTGTACATTATTATTGTGGTTAATAGTGGTAATAGGGTATAGTGTGGTGAAGACTAGCGTTCGTACCACTGACCGAAATGGGTTTGCTAAAATCGACTCCGGCTCGAACTTAAAAACCATCTCGAGCCAGCAAAACCTCATTTTCAGCCCTAGGTACGAAATATACTACTGGAATATGAGAGATGAGTTAATTAAATAAGTCAAAATTGGAGCTTGCCATTCGGACCCGTGGATATCCTACGGTATTAGATAACTTTGTTTCCAAGTATACGTTTAAAACTAAAGATTTGTTAACTCAATATTTGGAATACCTTGAACTATTATATTCTGCCTTGTACCACAAGGTCCAATGCTCACGCGTGTGGTTGTGTGTGTGCGTGTGTCTGCGTGCGTGCCGCCTGTAGTGTAATAAAATGCAAATGGCGGCCGATTGTAAATCAGCTGATTTAATGAGTACACGTTCGCCTCACCCTAGACGTAATTGGAGACTGTTTTTATTGTTTACCCCCCCCCCCCCTCCCTCCACCGCCCACTCAACATTAGACATGACCTTAAAACCCAATCTTGGGCTGATGGGGAATTACTGTATATAAAAATACCCCCGCTGCAGCAAATCTGCCAACTAAGCGAATTTCCATTTGTCTGAATTGATTTTCAGTTAAATATATTTTAATAACATTAGGTTTAACGAGTACCTAGGTTTGCTGCTACAAGGAAACTAATAAAGTGTGTTTTTGAGTAAAATATTGATAGCTTAGTACAAGATAAATAAATTTGCCAAGTTTGATCAAAATATATTCATAAACAAGCAAACTACAACATTTGACAATATTCTCCATAAGAATAACATGGGAATTTTAAATTTAAAATTTTTTTAATTTTCTCCGTTACTAATAATCGAACAAAAATACTTTTATATACTAAATTATTTGTTTTTTAAGCTCTTTAAAAATGTCTAAAGAGAAATTGGGAAATTTTGTGTTTTGAGGGTCAAAAGTGAGAAAAACCAATTTTTACCCCATAAAACCCCCCGTAAAGCCCCGTTCCCATTGTCCGATCGTGCTGGTTCGCAAACCCATTCAAGTTTATCCCGCTTTACACCTTTAAACCAAATTTCATCAAAATCGGACAAAAATTACTCAAGATATCGCGTTCACGGATATATATAAGTCTACATATATAAAAATACATATATAAAAATTTGAACGAATAGTGTTTTTGGCCTCTGGGGACATCAAAATGAAAAAGTAAATCGGTCCCGGGTCTAGGTCTTACCGTGCCACCTACGGTAATAGCTACTTCCCTATAGGGAAATTCGCTAAAATCATTAGTTAAATAATATGGCTGAAAACTTCCAGAGATTTTTATTTGAAAGACACGGCTCAAAAATACTAGGATTGATTTAAAAGCAGTAAGAACCAGTGAATCGGAGCAATTACATTTCATGTGTTTTTTTTAACTTAAAGATTGAAACATTTTCTCTCGCTTTAAACATCCTTACGTTTTCTATTTGCAAGGTGTTGTGGGGGAATTGTGCGTTCAAATTAGGGATTCAAAACGTAGTGGAAGGAAAATACAAATATGTGCTATTCCTGTCATATGCTGACGTCACCCAGATTGCAAACTAAAAATCATCTGATTGTAATGCCATATAAGTAAATATTTGTTTTGATTTGATTCAATCTGAGTGACGTCAGCATATGACGGGAATAGCTCACCTATGTGTTTTCCTTCCACCATGGATTCAAAACTTAATTCTGTTAGATATTTTGCTTCTGTACTTCTTGTATTAATCCGATTGTAATGCCATATAAGTAAATATTTGTTTTGATTTGATTCAATCTGAGTGACGTCAGCATATGACGGGAATAGCTCACCTATGTGTTTTCCTTCCACCATGGATTCAAAACTTAATTCTGTTAGATATTTTGCTTCTGTACTTCTTGTATTAATCCATATGTTAATTATTTATTTACATTGTTCATATAATAATATTGACTTTCCAGTTATGAATAAATAGTTATACAAGTTACAAGTGCTTGTATTTAATAATTGGCGACGAGGATAAAAAAAAACTAGACTTTATTACCTTCAATTTTTTACATTTTATTATTTAATTACCTATTTTAATTGTTCATATCTGCACTAGTCAACTAAATAATGGAAATATTACATAACATTGATTCAATAACATTTGATCGATGTGGCGTCTCCAAATTTGTCCATCGTCCATCTTGATAAAATAGTGAAGGCGACCGTCTCTACTTTGGACATTTCCGTAATTCCACTTACAATTTCCGGAATAGTTCCGTGCTTGTACTCGTTCACCTGGGTTGAAATATCTCACTATTCCTTTGGGTTGTTTAGTTTCTTCCTTTGTCTTAGGTAAGAGTAAACTTAAGTATGTGCGGATCCTTCTATTGAACATCAAGAAGTATGAGCTGTTGCCAGTTGAATTCGGAGCTTGACGTATTTTCATCAGAAGTTGGTGAAGCTTTTCTTCAAGTGTACCAGATTCATCTGACATACAGTTGATTAATTTCTTTATCGTTTGTACGAAGCGTTCGACTTGGCCGTTCGAAGATGGTAAGGAGCTGTCTTCTTGTGCAAAGTTCCACATTTCTTCAAAAAGTTACTAAATTCAGAAGAGGTGAACTGACGACCATTATCAGAGACTATAACACTTGGTAGTCCAAAGGTGGTGAATATTTTACGCAGCTCTCTGATTGTCCATGAAGATGTAATACTCTTCGTAGGTATGACTTCAACCCACTTGCTGAATGCGTCTACTACCAACAGAAAGTAGTTTCCGTTGGTTGGCCCAGCAAAATCTATGTGGACCCGCTCCCATGGTTCACTTGCTGGCTCCCAGGGATGGTTAATTTCTTTCTTCGGTAAATTTTGTTTTTCCCTGCACTGTCTGCATTTTGAAATATTATCTTCTATATCTTTGTCCAAACCTTTCCAGTAGCAAAAGCTCCGTGCTAAGGCTTTGGTTTTTACCATACCCAAATGACCAAAATGTAGTTCTTCGAGGACATGTTTTTGTAAAGATCTAGGAATCATCACCCTCCAACCTTTCATGATACAACCATCATGTAGACATAGCTCACCATTATGATAACCATAGTTCTCCAAGGATTTTCCAGTTTCCAAAGCTAGTAGCAAGTGTTGCATGTTTTCATCTTTTTTTGTTTCTTGAGCAATTAGGTTATGGTTTAGGTTGATCGTTGCAATTTGGTTCATATAGAAAACATCAGTCTGGTCCATGCTGGCATTTGATTGTTTTTCAATTGGAAATCTTGAAAGGAAGTCCGCATTTCCATGATCATTTGTTCGTCTAAATTCTATTCTGTAGTCAAAACCTGATAAGAAGTGTGAATAGTTAAAAAGTCGTGTAGCTGACATAGAAGGGAGGTTTTTATCAGGATTGAATATTGTAACTAACGGTTTGTGATCCGTTACTAGGATGAATTTACGTCCATAACAGTATTGGAAGAACTTTTTTAGTCCCCAATAAATTCCAGTAGCCTCTTTGTCAATTTGGCTATATATCTCTTCTGGTTTTGTCAATGTTCTTGAAGCGAAGGCTATAGGTCTTTCACTTCCATCTGGAAATCTATGTGACAGTACTGCGCCAAGTCCCACCGGAGATGCGTCTGTTGCCAATACCAAAGGTAAGACTGGATCAAAATGAGTAAGGACAATTTCATTTGTAATGATCTCCTTGACCTTCTGAAAGCTTTGTTCACATTGATCTGTCCACTTGTATTTCTTTTCCTTTTTCAGTAGTCCATGTAACGGATTGAGAATCGTTGCCAGGTTCTCGATAAATCTGTTATAATAGTTGACAAGACCTAAGAAGGTTCTTAGTTCACTAACATTCTGGGGTCTTCTTGCTTGCCTGATAGCCTTAACTTTATCTTCTGATTTGTGGATTCCGTGGGCATCTATAGTGTGACCTAAGTACTCAATTTGTTTGTGTAGAAACTTGCATTTATCTCTATTTACTCTTAGTCCGTTCATTTTTATTCTCTGAAGTACCATTTCCAACCGAGTGAGCAACTCTTCTTCTGATTTTCCTTGGATGATTATGTCATCGAAGAAACATTGAGTGCCTTCTATACCCAATAAGACCTTGTCCATGATTCTTTGCCAAATTCCAGGAGCTACTTTAACGCCGAACATGAGTCTATTAACTCTGAACTGTCCCTTATGTGTACTTAAGGTTTGTATGTCAGCACTTGCTTCATCCATTTGTAGGTGTAAGTAAGCCTTTTTTAAGTCCAGAGTACAGAAAATCTTGCCACCGCTCATATTTGCAAAAATATCTTCAATTCTCGGTATTGGATAGTGTTCGTCTTGAATTTGTCTGTTCACCGTAACCTTATAATCAGCACATATTCTAATTTCACCATTGGGTTTCATAACTGGTACTATGGGTGTTCCCCATTCAGAATTGTCCGTCTTTGTTATTATTCCTGCAGTTTCTAAGCGCTCTAGTTCCTCTTCTACCTTTTGTTTCAAGGAATAAGGTATTGGCCTTGCTTTCATAAATATTGGTCGAGCGTCAGGTGCCAGTTGTAAGTGGCCTAGTTGATCAGGTATTTGGCCTATATCTGGCTCGAAAACATCCTTGTATTTGTTTAGAAGTTCGTCTAAACGTCCTCCAGTTTCTTGTTTGATTGTTTTTACTTCTTTCCAGTCCAACTCTACTTCCCGTAGCCAGTCTCGACCGAAAATAGGATCCAAGTGACCGTCTACGCCACATCGATCAAATGTTGCGTACGAAAGTTTAGGGGGAGACCATTGTTAGGGGGAGACCACTGTTAGATATTTTGCTTCTGTACTTCTTGTATTAATCCAAATGTTAATTATTTATTTACATTGTTCATATAATAATATTGACTTTCCAGTTATGAATAAATAGTTATACAAGTTACAAGTGCTTGTATTTATTAAATTCCAAGGTAAAAAAATAATGCAATACCCTTTTACTTTTCAATGATCTAGATCTACACCATAAAGACCGAAGAGTGAGTTACCTATTTCAAGCAGGTTCTAATTATCAAAAAGTAGCCTATTTATAGTCCATTTTCAAGAACTGTTTCGTCTGTCTCTTGTTAACAACCTGACTGTGGTTAAACAATAAAGTGAAGGATCAGCTGTTAAATTGCAATGGTCATAAAGAAAGTTTGTTAGCAACATCAAATCTTAGAAAAAGAACTTAAGAAATAATTAAAACACAAGGGGCCAAAACCTTCAATGAAATTACATTTTTTGGTACCATTCACTGGTTCGCTGGATCAGGAGCTTTAAAATAACAGCTCCGTCATGAAAATCTGTTTAGTAGTACAGCTGAAAAAGGAATGTTACAGAGAAAGAGAAAATCATTATTGTATTAAGTATATAGATGCGTTGAAAATTGAAACTAAGGGAAATACTTTTGACATACTATGACTTTTAACGTTGACGTTATAAGTGGACTACATCTTGATCATTTCTTTTTTATGTTTGGCCATCTGTAGATACACGATTTTGGTATCTATGATAATAATTTGTTCCGGTGAAGTATGCAATTAATGTGGTAGACCTATGTAGCTTCTAAACCAGTATACAAGTATTCTTAGTAACCAAAATATTGGATTTAAAATGTATGTAACAGTATGAAACATTGATAGCCACGGAACATTTGTTTACAACATATTTTTTTCACACTAAACCACAAGAATTAGCCTTTATGTTAACATGTGTACGATAATATTCTTGTCTGAGATCTTGAACAATTCTAACTACGAGTACTAGAACAGACACGGTATGGATCATAAACATAAACAAATGGTGTTACTGGCCAGAAATTAATCATTATTTAACATTGCTGAAATTGAACTGTCTAAACCATATGTCTATTAGTATATAATTCGGGCCACCAACGTCATTTCTTTATGATATGATCCATACCGGTTCTGGTCAAGTATTCGTGATACCAAAGATTAGACATGCTACGCAAAATTACACATTTTGCGTAGCATGTCTAATCTATGGTGATACGAATTTAATACGTAAAACAGCTGTTTAAATTAAATACGGTTTTAACCACGAATGATATTCTAATTTAGAACAGAATATGGATCATAAACAAAAGCAAATGCCGGTACTGGTCACATTGTCCATAGTCGTAAAATTCCTATTTGGAAATTTTTGGCGGTTCCATTTAAACATTAATAAAAACCCGTTTACTTTCGGGCCAGTGGCATTTTATATTCATGATTCATGACTGTTTCTGTTATAATATTCAATATTCGTGGTTTTACTGACGACGTATGCCTTCTCGATCGCTGTGTGTAGAACGGGCTCACAGCTGCTATAGTTGTCATCAATTACTTTGTGTTGTAAATGCAGTATATGATCTTCAGCTGATTTTATTTATTTTTCAATACAATTTACATACAATCGTAAAACAAACGAAACATGATGAGGCAGTATAATTTAAAAATATACTGCGTAAGATATTCACTAGCTTATTTAAACACAAACACATTACTTAAGAAAAAAATGTGGAACGCTTCACGATTTTGCGTGTCATCCTTGCGCAGGGGCCATGCTAATCTTCTCTGTATCGTTCCAATTTTAGTATATGTACTGCCGAAGCAAGTACAGAGAAGTGTGGACAACAGAGGGTATACACTCCGCTGGCGTTGATATAGGTAACTGCGAGTGAAGCAGATTTTCGGGTGGCTTTAAAATTAAGAAATCACCAAGCTAACAACTATTTGGTTGAGGAAAATTGTTCAGCGTAATGTCACGACATTTGCTACTTGATCAAAATATAAATACGGATCTTTGATATGTAAAAATGAAATAGTTAAATACCATCGGTTCTCAATATTTGGAGCCCAATGTGCAGTGCTGTGACCTAGCGGCGATGCCACGTACTACTACCAGTGTTGTTAAATCTAGTATCACCCATTAAAATGATCTGTCATCCCATGCACATCTAAAAGAAAAATTAATCCAGTTTAATCCAGTCCCGGGTCTAAGTCTTTCCAAACCAACCACGGTCATAGATTCATTCATTTAGGGAAATTCGCTGAAATCATCCGATTTTGGATGAAGTTTTGTCCTTAATTTATTCGAAAAAGGAAGCTAATTAGCATGATCGGACTATGGAAATGGGATTTTTGGGGTACAAATTAATTGGTTTAACTAAACCATAAGCTTTTGCGATTCCTAAATAAGTATGAGAGAACTCTAGGAAAAGGGATTAAAATCAAATGAGAATTGTATTCCAACTGAACTATATATTTCTTGAGCAAAACACGTAAGAAGTTACGATACATATTTTATTATGTAAAATATTTAATGACTATTGGTTTATCAAATTCGAATACTCAGTTTTAACATGTGGATGGTATAGTTGTATCAACAGTCAATGGTGGGACAAAGAAAGCTCACAATATGTTTAATGTTTAAGGTTCTTTCTTCTTCACTTCTTAAGCTACTTTAAGCAGGCAGTCTCAAAGTACACTTAGTTGAGGTTGCTTAAAATTCAGCCTGCAATGAAGTTAAGTTCTTTGTTAGTTTACAATTTATAAAGTAGAGGTTATGTCAAAACTTAAGAAAGTTCCTATTTAGGCATCAGTGAATGGAAATTTCATCGTTGCAAACTTAGTTGGAGTTATTGTTGCTATTAGGAACACTAATAGACAATCAATCATAAACAGCTGTTATCTTCAGTATTGTTTTGTCGTTTATCCAGTTCAATGTTTACTTTATTTTATGAAAATGTTTTCTGCAGTTCAGATTTATATATTTACACATTTACAAGTTCGGTTGATTGATATCATAGCAGCAATATAAATATAATGTCATACCTATAATAGGGGCCAGGCTGCTTGGAACGTTATGGACACAAAAGTATAGATTTACCTCGACATTGTTTATACTTTGACTTTGATAACAACATTGTTCTTCAAATACTTGTTTTTCACTTCCAGGACGTAGATCCCTGAGTGTCCTATCATTGGATGATCAATTATTAGTGTGGCAAGAGTAAGACTGTACTCAACCTTATAGTCCCCTCGATTCGAAAGAATTGGATTCATCTTGTTATCGTACCTAAAAAATTTATCTTATTAAAAATAATTAAAAACTAAATTCATTCACTAAGCAATTCGAAATGAGTAAGTTTGATTCTACAAATGTTATCATAACTAGAAACAAGTTTATTTGTTACTGCACGTAGTTTTTTACAAAACAATTCAAAACTGGAAATAAGGAATTAATTTTTAAATACCGGTACCATTAAATGGAAGTTTAAATGGTTCATAACAACCAAACATGTCAGTCATAGTGTCATCCAATATATCCTTTCCTAAACATTAATCCTGTACAATGAAATTTAAACTTAATTATTTGAAAACTACCTTGTATCAAATTATTATTATCATTATCATCATCATCATCATCATCATCATCATCATCATCATCAGCAGCAGCAGCATCATCATTATTATCATTATCAATATAGATGGAGAGCCACCTATTAAAAAAAAAATAAAAAAAAAAACTTATATAGGCGCATATTTTTACCCAAATATGTGTGAATATGAATGGGGCGAGATGCCTGTTACCGAGCTTTATTATTGACTAAGATCAGCTGTTTCATTAGCCAGGATCATTTATTCAAAGCAATTTAATATCAGTAACAGCTGGGTCCAGTTTAGAACCATCAAAAAGCTGTTGACTTTTATCAGAATCGAACAGGTGAACTTTTGATTGTTAGGTGAACACAGCTACAAAGCTAGTCCAATACTTTGTTATGATTTAGCTTGGAGTTATACAACTTACATGAAACTCACCAAACAATGGATAGAGGAGGAGGGTTAGAGGTGATATCTACCAGTATGATAGCCTCTGTTAGCTTCTCTGAGATCCGCATCGTACTTTTGTTGTAATAACCTCTTATATCCAAGTCAAGTTTAGGGACACCTGGGCGGATACAAAATACCTCAATCAAACTAAAGTAATTAAAAATATAAATTTACATTCAAAACTGTCAATGTGAAATAAATGTGTTTAATACGGCAGGACATTTCTGGAGTTTTCCTCAACAGAAAATGTCCAGAGAGTTAGAATACAGTACATTTTTCGGGCTTTTTATTAAATAATAAATTAGTCTGTAAGGCTTCGCCTTTCCAAAAGTTTATCAAACCCAAATGCATGTGATGCATTGTATACTACGCTGAAGACATTCTATGTAGTGTAGATAGATGGATCATTATTTAAACAAGCTAGTTAAAGTTGATAAAATATTTGTTGTACCGTACCAAACGCTAGTTACTTACCTGCTGGGATGACAGATAGTTGGATAGCCTTATACTTGGATTGCCTTGGATGGGCATATATGTTGTTGCGGTTGTAGGACGCATCTATTACCTTGCAGGTGTAGTTTCCTTCGTCTTGTTTGGACACGTTAGTCAGTATCATGGCCCGAGAGGATATATTGTAGATAGCTTCAATATTCTCCTCTTCATCTTTATAATCATGCATTCTTTCACTCTGTTGAGGACAAAAGGAAAGTGAAATGCTATAAGTGTTAACATGCAACACCCATTTCAAGAGCTCTTTAGCCCTTAGCAACCTTTTGGTATAACCTTGCTCAAGTATTTTCTTTGCTATAAGTCTGGCTATTTTCTCACAATTTATTTTCCCCAAGAAAATATGTGAAGCTGCAACAGTTTTTTTAATTTTCCTTTTTGCATTTTGTAATGATTTTCTTTTCCCATCAGATCTATTTCTAAAAAAAAAGCGTCTGCTTTGATAGGCTGCACACTTTCGCACCCTTTCGTGAAAAACCTTAAGTTTATATCGCAAGCGAAAGTGGCCAGGGTGTTTTGCACAAAGTACTTTGTAACGTCTCCTGCGATTAGATTGTTTCATTTCTTGTTTTGCACCGTAGTTTAAACGTTGTTTAGCTTTATAATATTCTGGATCAGTAGAGTATTTCTGACGCACTCTAGCCTTGTGTGGCTCAGGATCAGTAGAATACTGCTGACGCTTCCTAGTCTTGTGTGGCTCAGGATCAGTAGAATACTGCTGACGCTTCCTAGCCTTGTGTGGCTCAGGATCAGTAGAATACTGCTGACGCACTCTAGTCTTGTGTGGCTCAGGATCAGTAGAATACTGCTGACGCTTCCTAGCCTTGTGTGGCTCAGGATTAGCAGAATATTGCTGCCGCAACCTAGCTCTGTGAGGTTCAGGATTAGCACTGTACTGCACACTTTTTCTTAACCTCTCAGTTTCAATATTAGCTAGATAACGTTTTCTGGCTTTGGATTTTTCTCCTTTAACATGTTCAAGGTACCAAGCTTTAGAAGTAGAACTCTTATTAGTGGATTGTATGCTAGCTTCTTCTGTTTTTCTTTTTTTTATAGCAGGGGCGTTTTCTAAATACCATTCTTGTTTTCTTTTTCTTGCCAGTCTTTCTTTAGAAGGCATACTGATGTTAGATTAGAAAGAAAGTAAATGCAATTAAAACATGGACGTGGTATCTTACCAAATGATCCTAAGAAATGTTCTCAATCATCTCAATGTTCTTGAACTAGATCTCTTCACTAAACATAAACAATGCTGCTCTTTTTGTAAAAATAAACAAGACATCAAATTTTTTTTATTTACAGCTGGTAATTAAAAATGGTTATAAATAGTTTGGGTGAAATATATAGACCACGGCACAACTACATCTCATTTCATTTCAATAATATTGTTTGTGTAGAGCTAAATTCTACATTTTTTGGTCTTATCTGCTATAAACCAATTAAAAACTTTTTGACACACCTACCAAAATTACTATTTAACAAAAATTGCTACGTTGGAAGTTTTTGAAAACATGTGTTAAACGTATAGTCAACAGGGTGGTTGTTTCTATTTATGATTTTGTCAAGAATATGTTTATTTTAAACTAAACACACACTTTGAAACTGTATAATCTAGTCATCATCCATTAATATAGGTTCTGTGTCTGGGGCTGTAAATTCAGCAATGTTCATCTTGAACAACATAAAATGCGTTGGTGTTACATAAGTGTTCTGATAATTAAACCCGTATATCTAAAGACTAGTGTAAATTGAGCCCTTATTATAGAAGTAAAAATGTAATCAAACAGTTTAGGTTTGTTGGAAATAGCATAAGGCAAAACGAATATTGAAAAACTAATTAATCCTATATTTACATTTTAATTGCTGGTTTAACATACGTAAAGTGACTTTCCCGATTCTTTTATTTGTTTTAGTGTATCAAAACATAAAACAAACCTTAGTACTAGTACTAAGTTTCAAGTTACTAGGTTTCATATGTTTTGATAAGTAGTATTAAACTGTTAAAAATGACGAACTGCTGTACCAGTGTACCATCGGTACACTGCATTTTTCAATGGAAAGTATCGGGGAATATCACTGCTCTAAGTAATTTTATATAGTAAGTAGTTCAAATCATTCGGTATACCTGAAAAAATACTTTAAGAAAGTTTTAAAATAATTTTTCAGCTGTTCCTATAAATTTCTCTAACATTTAAATTAATTGAGATTTAATCGCAGCTGGTCCTTCTTTTGTTTTGATTTTAATCCCATGTTATTTAAATGGGCCAAAATCGTACTTTGAGGGCTTGCCAAGGGTTTATGGTTCAACTCACCGACTTGAGACCCTCAAAAGGCACATCTACACGTTAAGGGCTTTCAAACAACATAAAGAACATTAAAATTGAGCCAGTGGTTTGGGCTGTAGGTCCGTCAACATTCAAGGAGAAGGAGAAGGAGGAGAAGGAGAACACGGAAAATTTGTGAATTTTCAAACTAGTTTTTCTTGGCTCAAACACAACAGTTTTTTAAATTCTTTTTTTTATTTTGTTGAGGATGAGTGCCCCTATCCAATAGATGAACAATTATTTTAATAGCTTTTGTTTCTTCAGAGCTATAGACGAGTGAAAAAGCCACTTTGTCACGTCAAGTATATATACACTGCAGCAGCTGTGTACCGCTGGGGGACTTGGCGGGGCGGAACGCTGCCGCGTTCCTTAATATACAGGGTGAATAAAAAGTCAAGCCCCCCCCTCTAATATTTTTCCAAGTAAATATACAGAGATATCCTTTTGGTAGTCGAGCAATCTTAGCAGGAAGTTTCATTTTATCATTTTGAAATTTTTTAGTGTCCCCCCAAAAGGGGGGATTTGGGGGGCAACTCAAATATTTTAAATGTAAACCCCCTTCAAGTGACACCTCATTTTAAAGTGTTTACAAAAACTTAAAGAATGGTGAAAACTAGAGGTCACTATCTCTTCTCTATTCAAAATAATAGCCCGTCAAATGTGGAAAATCTATGGTAAAATTGTTAATATTGGCTGCCATTTTGGATAGAGAAGAGATAGCGAGCTCTGGTTTTCGCCATTCTTTAAGTTTGTTTAAACACTTCAAAATGAGGTGTCACTTGATAGGGGTTTCTATTGAAACATTTTTAGTAGTCCCTTGAATCCCCCCCCCTTTTGGGGGACACTCAAAAAATTTAAATGTAAACCACCTTCAAGTGACACCTCATTTTGAAGTGTTTACAAAAACTTAAAGAATGGTGAAAACCAGAGCTCGCTATCTCTTCTCTATTCAAAATGGCAGCCAATATTAACAATTTTACCGTTGATTTTCCACAACATTTGACGGGCTACCATTTTGGATAGAGAAGAGATGGCGACCTCTAGTTTTCACCATTATTTAAGTTTTTGTAAACACTTCAAATGAGGTGTCACTTGAAGGGGGTTTACATCTAATTTCAAAATGATAAAATGAAACTTCCTGCTAAGATTGCTCGACCACCAAAAGGATATCTCTGTATATTTACTTGGAAAAATATTAGAGGGGGGGGGGTCTTGACTTTTTATTCACCCTGTATGTGCCATAAAATGTATGAATTACAAGCAAGCTATCTCTGTTTTGGATATTAGGTTTAAAAAATTATGTGTACTGCAAAAATATCAATATCGAAGATGAACTTGCTGTTCCACCTATTTAGCCCTTAGAGCGAGTTGCCGGATCAGTACCCCCTGCTGAACATCGTCGCTATTTTGACGTCACACCTAGTGGGGGTACAGTATTTCTGCCCTTACACTTGGATTATAACGGAGTCTAATTAATCTATTTAATATAGGCAAGTGATCAGTGAACCGTAGGCTTATATTAGAAATTTAATACCCCCGCCGCAGCAAACCTGCAGACTAAGCGAATTTCCATTTGCCTGATTGGATTTAGACTAAAATGTCGCCTTAAAAATATCACATTTATTCCCTATTTAAATAGAATCAGTTTAACACATACTTAGGTTTGCTGCAACAGGGAGGGTAAAAGTGTTTTTTTATGTAAAATGTTAATAGTTAGTAAGAAATAAAAACATTTTCCAAATTTGGGCAAAATATGTTAATAAACAAGCACACTACAACGGTTTACTTATTCTCCATAAGAATAACATGGGAATTTTAAATTAACAATTTTTTGGAATTTTCTCCGTAACCATTAGGCGCATTATAACGCTTCAATATACTAAATTATTTGTTTTTTTAAGCTCTACAAAATAGTTTGGAAAGAAATTTCAAAATGTTATGTTTTTTGGGTCAAAAATAGGAAAAACCCATTTTTACACCATAAAAGCCCCCATAAACCCCTGTTCCCAAGGTCCGATCATGCTGGTTCGCGAACTCGTTCGAATAAACGTAGGTTTAAACGTTTGTACCAAAATTCATCAAAATCGGATCATTTTTGCTCGAGTTATCGCGCTAACGGACATATATATATATATATATATATATATATATATATATGAATTTGAACGGATGGTGTTTTTGGCCTCTAGGGACCTCAAAACGAAAAAAAAAATCGGTCCCGGGTCCAGGTCTTACCATGAGTACTACGGTAATAGCTTATTCCCTATATGGGAAATTCGCTAAAAGAGCAGGAGATGTACGGCCTGGAATTGTACACCCTATCAGAAAACCAAATGCGTACGTGATGGAATCGTAACCCCCTCTCCTTTAGTTAACGTCTTCAATCGTCTTTCAATAAACTTAGTGGTATCATTAAAATGAAATAGAAGCGAATGCCCTAAAAAGTGACATGTTGGAGGAATCTTTTGGTCTGCACAGAAAATATTGCTCGTTCTTAAGATATATTACTGCAAAGAGGTTATTCAAAGATTTGGCTTCAACACTTTGCGTGGCCTCGGATGATATGGATACTTTAACTAGTTTTTAAACCCTTGAACTTCCCGATTAAATTATTGTACATTTTTTTTAAATTAGTGTTACTGTATTTAATAACACCTTTCAAGAAATTTAACCTCATCTCTACTAACTCCCCTTAAAACTTCGAAAATGCATAGGACAAAGCGACAAAGCCCTAAATCAACTTTTAGATGTAAGTAGGCATATTTTAACCCTATACAATACAACAGATAAACAGATAACAATAGTATATCACGTTACCAGCCCGGTGGAAGGAGTTTTTCCGAAACCTCGCGCAAAAGTAGTATATTGTTGGAAATATTTGGAAAAAGGCTGTAAATAGTGACAAATAATGTTGTTAGGATAGTTTATTTTAGGTTGGATTTATACACGCCAAACAAAGGATACAAAAGTGTAAAAAAGTACTAAAATATTGTATTTTATACTTTACCCGAAGCTGCAGAAAGTGTATAATGAGCCTTAGCTATTTCCTACTCTCCCTGGTTCATATTAGGCAATGTATAAAATGCATAATCGTTCTATAGCATTCCTGATCAGATATATGCACTATACATCATCCTCCCAGAGTTTCATGTCGATCGGATTATCGTTATTTTAACACACAAAGGACAAACGTATACAACAGACGACATAGGTCTACAAATGGATTAAATTTATTTTAGTTTCAATTGAGTTCGTATACAGTTCGAAATAAACACCTCATATTACATGAGTATTGCTACCACATGCATTTCAATTTCTGCATGAAGAGGTCTGTGACTACGGGGGGGGGGGGGGTACAATTCACAGGGAGTACCATTCCAGTCCTAGAAGTAAGTCTAAACTGTCAAAGGGTACAAAACCAGGAGGGTACTATCATTGACTATATAGCACTATAGTGTTATATAGTCATTGGTACTATTCCACCCTGTATACTGACCAAATGTGAGTTAGCTCAAAATGGGGGGTACAATTCCGGCCCACCCAGTTTTTTAGATACCGATGGATTTAATTAAACCACTTGTGCATACCAATTTCATAGTTCTATGAGGGGGGTACAATTCCGCCACCCCCATGGATTGCCACTGATCTAATCAAGCCTATTTTTATGTTTTTCTTTTTCATGCGAGCTTAAAATCAGAATGATTATGACAAAGTTTTTATAAAGTTTTATATAATGAGCTGTCCGCCGTTTATTTAGGTGAGCCTCAGACAGAGCCTCATAGGTTGTACATCAGACCTATCATAGATAAGATTTGAACCTTCAAAGTACAATGCTGTTGCCTGGGTCCTGGCTGGAGAGGTGTTTTAGACAATTTGGTCATTGATCAGATATGACTCATTACCTCTCGTAGTAGTTTTGTACTTGACTTCCTAGTTATAAACACCAGTTATAGTTATAGCTTTTATCAATTTTTGTTCATTTGCACTCTAATACTGCATATAATTAGTGAAGGATTGACTATGTTACTCTAAATGGTCCATTTATTGGTATTTAAAACTTAAAGGATTAAAAAAAACAGACCTGTTGCTGTAATTCTTTCCTTGCTGTTTTTTGGTAAGTGTGGGGGACAGCCCAGTTGATTTCCACCTTGCCATTGTATTTGATCTTACAATGGAAAGTGACATTGTCTCCCTCGGTCACATTAATGGGACTGATGCTAACCTCAGGCTGCCTTAAGGGCCATATTCTGGCTGTAAGAGTAAGATCAGACACAGATCAAAACAATTGACTAGCTTAGCCTTATTCTACCCCCGTTTTGCCACTAAAAAAACCGTAAGATTTCAGCTATTTTAATTCGATCTTTTTGAAGTTGGTATCGTTTGATAGGGAAATAAAATTCCAAATAAATATGTTTCACATTTTTTTTTTATTCTGGTTTGAAAGTCTTAAATGGCCGCCATTATGTTAATTTAAAAGACAATGACATAATTACTTATTTTATTTCCTCTTGACACAATAAATGTAGGCTATGTGCAAAGTTTGGTTTCCGTAGCTTGAATAATTCTTGAGATTTAAATTGTAAAAAAATACAAAATGGTGGCAAGCGGCCAAACAAAATTTTTCCCGATCTATGTTTATAATATGAACTTTTTGTTTAGAATGACTAAGTACTATCAGCATTTGAAGTTTGTGACAACCCTTTATGAACGCCCTGTGTACACATGGTGTTCTAAAATGGTAGGGAAATAATTCACGTAGCGATTCCTTGGATGAAAATAAGAAGAAAATCAAGAGTAATGTTTTTATCCAAAATTGCTTTGTTAATCAGATATCCGTAGTTTTGTATTTTTTTTACATAAACATTTTTATCTTTAGACTGTTCCAACCATCGATATAGGTTCCAACCGATCTTTATGAAACTTGATATGTATGTTAAAGAAGGAGCGACCCATGCGAGAAAAAAATATTATCTTGGTTCTATAAAATGGCCGTAATTTTAGATTTTTTAACTTTTATTGCAAAAACGGCTGATTTTACTTAAAAAATGTCAAGTCCACTTTTATTTAGCCTTTAAAATTCCCCATCAAACGACACCAAGTTCAAAAAGATCGAATAACTGAAATATCACGATTTTGATCGTAAAATGAAGTTTAAAGCTTCAACAACTCATAGCTAGGTTTGCCTTTTTTACAACTAAAAACTGTTATATTTAAGTTATTTTGCATTCAATCTTTTTAACTGGGTGTTGTTTGAATGGGAATTTAAAATGCAAAATAAAAGTGTACTTGACATTTTTTTTTGTAAAATCAGCCATTTTTGTAATACAAGTTTAAAAATCTAAAATGACCGCCATTTTAAAATTTATAATTGAACCAAGATAATATTTTTCTCTCGCATGGGTCGCTTCTTCCTTAACATACATACCATACCAAAAGTTTCATAAAGATCGGTTGGAACAATCTAAAGATAAAAATGTTTATGTAAAAGTACAAAATGGCGGATATCTGGTTAACAAAGCGATTTTGGAAAGAAAAAATATTATTGATTTTCTCTTTATTTTTACCCAAGGAATAACTAAGTGAATTATGTCCCTAAACTTTCTGAACACACTGTATACAAAACATTAGAATATCTCACTGTCACTGACAGCATTTTAAATGAAGAAAGATAACGTTTTCTTCATGTCTAATCTTACTAATATTATAAATGTCAAAGTTTGTGTGTTTGTTTATTTGTTTGTTTGTTTGAAGTTCAATCACGCATTAATTACTGGACGGATTGAGCTGAAATTTGGCATGATGATAGCTCACATTCCCGATTAACATATAGGCATATTCTTATCTCAAAAATCCTTTCGGGCTCCGCCCCAGTGGCTCTTTAGTTCACCATGTTAACCTTATGAGTATTCATATTTAAAGGAAATTAAAGAATTTAGTCAGCTGTTTCAACTAAAAAGGTGGTTCTATGATTTGCAAAAGCATTCAAAGTTATAAAATTTACCAACAGGATGCAGCAATATTATTTTTATTTCATTTGTGAAAACAGCTTATTTGAACTAATCAGTCCCAAAAATCTGTGATACACAATGAGGACTGTCAAAGTAGGATTGTTTACAGTTATGTTTATTGTTTTAATTTCATGAATAATTTGTAAAATTTTGCGAAACTTTAATAGTTTATTTTTCTCTGTTGTTTAGGTGAAGTGGTAGAACATTGGCTTCGGTAGATGTATAGTATACTGTCAATTTAAAGAAGCAACTTTTATCAAACTGTGACCTCCCCCATTGCAAGCGCAAAGCTTGAGTATAATGCCAATCCCGTACGAAGGACGGGTACTCTGCTAGTGTATATTATAGTTGCCAGGGAGTTCCACAACTCCTAAAAACGTAAATCATTGCGCTCTATGTAAGATTCTCACACTAAAAAATTAAATAAAATTATTAAAATTTAAATATCTATATAAACTAAAAATTACCTGAAACACAGAGAAGTTGACAGATTACCATCCAAAACACAGGACATTTTCTTAGAACTAAATCCAAATTCTTTATCATTTTCATATGACACTGGGCCATAGCCAGTACTGACAGTTGGCCTATGGAAAAATGTTAATGCTAAACAAGGCAAGTGAAAATGTTAACAATAACTGCAAGTAGTTCTTCTTCCTCATCAGATAAAATTATGATTAGGCCTAGGGCATAATGATATTCTAAAAAAGGAACTGTTTATCTTTTTATACAGACAAGTATATAATAGTTATGATTCATATCATATCATCAAAGATTATAAGGATAATAAGTGAGCAGTGAAAAGTTTTCCTTTTACAAGTAGCAGAAATAAATACCCCTGCCAAAGCAAACTCGCAGACAAGTGAGTTTCCAATCACTTGACTGGATTTACACTAAAATATGTCCTTAAAATTGTCTGATTTCCTACTAGTTGTTCTGCCCATGCTTCACAACGGGACATGGGTCATCTAAATCTACTGTAAAAAAGCACTTGAACACACTTACCTTAGTTTATAATCAGGCAAATATTAAAAAATACCAAAATATCATAATGGCGTACAGCATTTCAAGGTGAGTTTCTTTATTTTGTGTGCACTTTTTAAAGTATATTTTCGCGTAAAGTGTTTCCTTTTGTAGATGAAGGAGAGAAGGAATTAGAATTTTAACCAGGAACGGCAAACGAGCAAATCAGCAAAAGCCAGGAGATACAAAGAATGTCATTAAGTGTGTGTGTTTTTTTATTCAAATCTCAATAGCTTGGTATTGGTATTAAATAAATGAATTTACCAATCGACCAAAATACGGCCAAGTATCAACAATTAAACTACAACTATTTACTTATTCCCCTTAAGATATATGGTAACAGCTTATTCCCTATTTGAGAAATTCTCTAACACACTTTTTACCTTACCTGTAGCAGCAAACCTAAGTACTCATTTAATATAGTTTTATTTAAATAAGGAATAAATATTATGGTAAATTTTAAGGAAATATTTGAGGAAAATCCATCTAGGCAAATGGAAATTTGCTGGTCTGCACGTATACCCAATTAGTTTTTCTTACTCTTACTCCTTCGACCTTCAGTTGAGATAGGATGTCTACTTCTACTTCATTTTCTGTAGCCAAAAGTAAAATATCATTATGAATTGTAGTTGTTATAATTCAAGTTTATTCAATAAATAAACAGCTACTCGTCACTTTTAAGAACATAGCATAGTACTTACTTACAAGATAAGGAGCTTCAAAACTGGACAAGAAACGGAACAATAATGTACAAAATAAACATAATGTACGCCAACAATAGCAGCATGGAGCATAACATTTTGGATATTGTTAAAGTTTTAAGTTTGATACCACACACTGTGTAAATAAATACCGTACTGGTGATTCAAAGTTCTGTTGAAGGGATCATCGAGTAGGCCTTGACTTTGTGCCAGCTGCACAGATTAGAGAATACTGATAGCAAGGAATTTGCCATTATCAATCCAGGAAATGCAACGAGAAAGATATTTGACAGTAATTAATTAAACTTTTGGGTTTTACTCAATCTTTGAGTGTTCATTGTTCAGATGAGCTACAAATGACAAGCTATTCATGAAAAAAATATGCTCCTCTTTTATACGAGAATCTTGCCAATTTCTCCTAACTTAGTTAACTATTGGACTTTTACTTAACATGAGGAGAACAACGAGCGACTGGCCGATTTTTTAAGTCAACCATGTGCGCGGACTGATAACAACCTGTAAGTTACAGGTTTCAGGGTGACAATCGCCTCGGCTACGAGCACATATCGGCCGATGAAGTAATAGTCTCAAAATAATCTCTCGTTTGCGCCTAATTGCGCCTGGCCTTAGGCTAGGCGCACAAGAGCGATTATTTAGAGACTATTATTTCTCGGCCGATCTGTGCTTCATGTATTAGAATGGAAGCACACACACAGGCGATCGAGAATTGCGCCGATTTTTAAATCTGGGTTTTGCTGCAGATTCGTAGGCAAGGCGATTGTCGCACGGAAATCTGTAACGTAGAGGTTGTTTTCAGTCCGCGCACACGAACTTCAGTGTGAGTTATTGTGTTGTTTTCTTTGCTAAAAAAGGCCACAGCTGTTATAATAAAAACTGAAACATTCAACAGACTTCTATATATATTAAAATACGTGAAGCAGTTTTTTGTTAACGCAACTCCTCCCTTATTTGTGGACCAATTTCAACGTTTAAGGTGTCAAAAGATTCTTCTCAATATGTAGTTTTGCAATAAGGTTTTTAGAATTTTGAAATTCCTACTCTTAAGGGCCTGAGACCCTCTCAAAGGTTGGGGTTTCCCCATAAGAAATACATAGAACAAAAAAAAAACAGCTGTTTATAAAAAGAAACTCCTTAGCTTTTTGGGAGTAAATATTAATGTTTGTAATATTGAGTAGGTTAAGACCAAGTTAAACCGGTAATCAGTTTTGTAGGAAGAACAGAAAATTCCTCAAGTTCAACGAAGAAATATTGAAAACGTGAGTAGGAGACAATTAATAATAAGATATTGTATGCGTATGAGGAGAGTAGAAAAAGAGAGGCCTAACAGACACCCATCCAGATGTACACATTCACTTGGTGATATGAATAATATTTGCCAGTTCTGCTATACATCGATGGTTCTGCTGTGCAACTCACTTTGGATGTGAAAAAATATACGAAGCACATAGTGTTGTCACGGTGGTACCTAAAGTAAACTTGCCTAACGTCAGATCAAATGAATGCATGCAAGAAATGTTTACTTCTGACACAGACAAAACAAAATATTTCAAAACATTTAGTATAAACTATATTAATGCCTTGACTATGATGAGTTCAAGTAGTAAGATTATACCAAATCTTGGCGGACCTTATGTTTTTATTGTAAACTATTGTATTACTCGCTCTACTTCAATTGAGAAAAACCGCAAATGGATTGTTTACTTCTAGGTTATGTTGCCAGTTCCTGGGAAAAACTTATACAAGGTTTATTGACTGAATTTACCAACACAATCCAGACATTTCAAGTCAAAAATAAGAAGTTTCAACAACTCATTTGCTATTGAAAGTTTTAGTGGCAATATTAGACCAAACATAAGTGAAGGAATCAGTGTTTATGTATTCAACGATCGAGTTGTTACAGTCAAGTTTATTTTTATGATTTAGGAAAGGCAAAATAATATACGCTGTTCAAAGAGAGAATATGAAAATTGCCGTACAAATCGTATAGCTACAAGAGTTATCCAACCTATTTCGACAAATGAATCCATACTTTCAAAACGTTATGACAGGTATTTAGAGAAACTCCACTGAAAAACGTGTGAGACTGAGAGGAGACAACACGTTAAAATACGTTAACCAACTTTCAATGGTGTTGCTGCTATTCAAAGCAGATTATGACAGTCCAGTTGGCAAAAAATGGAGCACATGAAATGGTTGATATCACCTCACTTTTCAGGGTATCCATCCACGAAGAAAATTCGTTTGATTAGGGGAATGTTTCAAATCAAAGAAATAAAATGGTCCAACTTAAATTACTAAACCCAGGTTATCAGTAGGCCTAAGGCAACAGTTTCTTCAATTCTCAATGCTGGAAAAACTGTGTTGCAAGCTATTAACTCGAATTGAAGCAGATCGTTTAGCATTCATTATAAGTTATCAATTAACACTGAGAGCAGAAATAGTGTAGGTGAACCTTGACGACGTAAACAGAGATATTTAAAATTAGTTTCTAACAAGTGTTTAAACAACTCTAAGATGTAGCTACAATTACTCGAATTTTATAAGCATAAAGTTTTCCTCGGCGTTATGTTTCATACTATGCGGCTCATTGAGCCGCACGGGTTCTCTAGTTATAGTAATTAAAATTAACGAACTTTTTACTGTCATCACGTAAAGTGTATATAAAACTGTCGATTTAAAAGTCTCTGACTTACTATCGGATGAACCCAATATTTAAGTTGTCTTATTTTTTTCTTTGATCTAATTAGAAGAGCACAAACACAGGTTAATTCAACAAAGTCCATTTTAGGATAGCTTAAACGCACTCAAAAAAATCAATTTCTCGACTAAAAAATCGCCATGTGTGCGCCTAGACATAAATCAAGGGCTATTTATTTTTTTACCGTGTGCGCCAGGCCTTACACAAGGATCACGGGACGCTCCGTGACGTACAATTCTATTGGCTCTAATGGCGTGACATCAGTCTCTTCTCTTGAGGGAACACCATAACCGCAACGATACGGTGAAAAGCCATCAGTCTCGGTGGTGTAGTGGATATCGTGGTCCATAAAGTTGCCCCCCGCATTTAAGCACTAACGTCAAAAATTGTACCAATCGTTAATGCTGAAATTCCCAACGCCAGTGCTCTTTAGGTTCAAGTGATATCATTAAAAACTGTGGGTGGTGCCAACTTTATATCAAGTTAGCCCCCCCCCAGTACAAAAGATTAAGCACTAAACTAACGTCAAAAATGATACCAATCGTTACTGCTACGTTAGTGATGGTTAGTGCTGAAACCCCCCAACGTTAGTGCTCTTTTGGTTCAAGTGTTATCATTAAAAAACCAGACTGAAAACCTGAGGGTAGCTGGATTGAATTCCACCGTAGGCACGAAATTTTTGTCAAAGATTTAGCTTAGAATGAGATTACTTCTTAACTGTACATCTGTTGTTAGAATTTGAAGCATTTATAATTTTATTTTATGAACAGAACTATTATTATGATTAGTAATCCTTCATTCGATTTTTTCATTATCAGCAAGTTTTGTTAGTTTAATGACAGTTTGATTTTATAATAAAAAAATAATTTTATAATTAAGTATGACGTCATGGATCTACGGACCATCAATACGACGCGACGTCGCTGATAGTTCCCGTGAGCCTGTCCGGAACGCGACCCTATCTATGCCCGATGCGGGTGAGCCAGCGGGTGAGCGGTGTTTGTAGTTTGTATATTTATGACGATTGACAATAGTAGCCGACGCCGACGTCGACGTCGGTCTTTGCCTAGCCTGATTTATTTTTTCTAGTGCATTTTTTTAATTTTAATCCGTACAGTAAAGTAATTTCATAATTAAAAATACCATGGTTGGTGGTTTGGATCTTTTTTTTATGATGCGTACATGGTGAATGGTGATTGAAAAAGTTATCTTATTTGCCAAGCTAGGGATCGCTTGATGTTTTTTTTTAGTGTAAATACTGTTCATTGTGTCCATGGTATAGCCTGCAATCCAATAAAGAAGCCTGCGACTCAGTTTAGCGAAGTCTACTAAACTTGTACTAAGTCAAGTCAATGATATAGGTTATGCTTCTAACCTAGACCTACTGTCCAACTACTTGTCAACTCCTTTAGTTTTATGACTTAAGTTATTGATTTGTTCAATTGGACCTAAAAGTGACATGGCGCCTAGACGAAGGTAGGCTTTTATAACATCATCCAATTAACTTACAAGAATATTTTAATATTTAACTTATATATCAATGTGGTATCAGTAAGCATAAAAAAATATGGGATAAAGTTGCGCAGAGAACCTGTGATATATTATCTTAGAGGAAAAACAATATTATATCAATTAATAGGCCTATGTAGGTTATAGGCTGGGATGAAATTTGTTTTATCAAAAATGCTTCAAACTCTCAGACAACTGTAGTAAAAACATTATTGTTTTAGCATTTTTACGGTACAGGCCACTGGGCTAACTTAGGCTAATATTGGTTGAAGATACTGATTCGATTGGTAAACCTTCATTCGATTTTGGGTACACTTCCCAAATAATATTGATTAAATTTGATTGTTTAATTTGATACTGTATATCGTTTGGTTAGTTAGGTTAGGTTAACCTTACCTAACTAACCAAAGATATATCGAATAATCGATTGATATTTTCATTCGGTTGTTTGTGCCAACAGATATAAAAGTGTACCCTCGATTTTTTTTAACTGTATCAATTATAAAATGAAACTGTTATAGGGTAGGTAACCATAACCTAAACTTAAACTAACCAACCAAACTTGCTGATAATGAAAAAAATTAACCGAATCAATATTTTCAATCATTATTAGCGTAGCCCAGTTAAGAAACTGTAGCCATAGTTTCTACTTATTCATTTGTCACTTTGATTTGTTCAATCTTGATAGAAATAAGGATTAAGTTTTTTTTTACATTATTTGCTACTATTAATATCTTTGTTAAGTTTGTATAGGCCCTACAGGTTCTGACATTTTGGGAAATTTTTATATAACTTACCTATTTTTAATCTTAGGGGCAGAATTACTCTCAATTATATATTTTCTGGGGAAGAGATGCTTTCCAAATGTGGGATTTGCCAAGTTCATGATTTTGAGGCGATTGCAGGAGAAGATGATGTCTCTGTGTTTGCAGAAGTTGTTCGAAAGGATTGGCCTTGTTGAAAGGAGCTGGCCACCTTTTTTGTCTCTATTTTGGGAGAAGATAATGATATCCCAGTGATCGCGAGCTATAACTTAGTGCTGGTTTAGTGATCTTGTTTTAAAGCAAGGGCGCTGCCAGAAAGTTTAACAGGGGGGGACTTACCGGGGGGTTGATATTTTAGTGTTTAAAAACTCACATTTCAGCTCACATGTATCTTTCTTGTTGAGGCTTAATTGTCTGTCTCTAAGCATTTTCTCATAAATTCCAATATCATCATTTCCTAAGGTAAAGGATCTGCGTTGCCAGGAAATGTTTAATTTTGAACTCTACATCTCAAACACTTTCGTACGATCAAGTGTTGTCGTAAATGCAATCTGTTTAAGTAAGTTACAAGTTTATGCCGTGAAAATTTGGGATATTGTCCTCTTGTTTGGGAAATATTTTGTTCAGCAAACTATCGCTTAGGCCTAATCGTTTAAGAATATAAGTGATACGTTTTCTAGATGTTTGAATGTGTACATATGTCGGCATACCAATATTTTGGTTAGAAATGCAATGTTTTAAGTTACGGTATGTGTTTTGTCATATTTTATGTTGATAACGTAAAACAAGAAAAGCCTTGAATAAGTTTGACAACGGTCAAACCTGTTAGGCCTAATAATAAATTTAATGGTTTCAACATGATCACAATGTTTTTCACCTTATCTGATCTTATCACAGACTGTTTTGGTGATATAATTGAGACCTATATACAGTGAGGTTGAAAAGTCCCAGTTTGGTATATTATATTTTTTACAAATACAGATAAAGTAATGAGACTTGGTATATTAATAATTGCCATAAATGTCTACTTTTTAAGCTATTATCACTTTTTTAGCCTATCTCTTAAGGGGGATGGCTTAAGGAGTCAGACAAAATTCTTAAATAGCAGCATAAATAGGTTGAGATTGGTATTAAAGTAAAGGTCATATTTAGTAAAATACATTGCCGCAAACCCGGACTCAAACGGCAAACCAAGTGAAAAATGGCAACCGTTCAAATTATTTCTTGAATCTGCCATTTTTACCCAGCTGTTATTTTGAGCACAAATTTGATCGGAATTGTACTATTCTACTAATTTAGACCTTTAATTTAAAACCAAACTTGACCTACGTTTACGTTTATGAATTTTTTCGACTTCTAGCGGGCGTCCCACAGTATAATAATGAGCATTGCAAATTCAAGGATTCTTTGAACAGCTGTAATTTTTTACTCTGTTTGAGTTCGAGTTTGTGACATTGTGTTTTAGTAAATAAGACCTTTAATTTGATACCAAACTCGACATATATATGCTGCTATTTAAGAATTTTGCTTGACTCCTCATGGGCCGTCCTCCTTAACCCCTTTGCTTAAAGCGACGGCGATTCGCCGTCGTGCTCCCGCGAGCCATTGTGTGAAGCGACGGCGAATCGCCGTCCGCCATTAAAACCAATATTTGCCGAGTTAGTTCCCAAAAAATCCAACAGATCGCATATGCTTCTTGTTCTGCAAGCTTCAGGCTTTCATTTGGTTGTATTTTCGTCGTCCACGGCCTGCCCAATCGGCAAAAACAATCAATTGAAAATTACGATTTACCAGCTGACGTTGGGAACGTTGTCTTGGCAGCTGTCTGCCTTGTTTGTTTATGTTTACATCGTCATTTCACAACAGTATTTATATTATGTTGAATTCTATTTTTCGTTTGCAAATAGTTGTTTTATAAAATAAATAAGATGAGTAACTTTTTATTTGTTGATGAGTATGGAAGGGAATTGGACGAAAGTGAAATTGCTAAACTAATTGAATGTGACAGTGACTCAGACAGTGATTGTTATTTATTTGAAGAAAGGCTTGAGAGTGATGATGAATTATTAGAAATAAACAATGAACACGTAAGTGAAGCATGCAATAGTATAAGTATTGCTGACTGTGAACCTCAAGATTTAGCTGATAATGGTGTGACAGAGCATGCTAGCCCTAGGCCTTTTATAAATAGTGATTGTTTGCATGACCTGCATGTTAGGCCTAAGCCTGTAAATAATGATTGTTTGCATGACCAGCCCTCCTGTAGTTATGCCCGACCTATGTCCCCTCAAAATGTGCCTTATAGGCCTAGTCCTGTGTCCTATGAACAGCAAAGTTCTGATGATGAAAACCCTGTTGGATTTATGGAAAAAATTTACCGAGGTAGGGTAATTGCACCTGCACTATCTCCTACACCCAGTGAGGAGGCTGAGGCTGATGACCCTAGTTTTATTGAAACCATTCCTTGTCAAGTACCTGAATATAGTAGAGGTGCAACTATTGGTAGATCAAGGGGAAGGGGAAGTAAACGAGGTAGGCCTAAAGGAAAAAATCCTAGTTTAGTGCTACCTAAGCCTACTAAACGGTCTAAGGGCCAACCTAAAACAGCTAAGAAAAAGAAAAAACAAGGTTGGAAATGGACCAACACCATAGAAGACAATAGTATTTTCAAAATACCTTTTACAGGCTGTCCTGGTGTCAGGGCAAGCTTAGCAAGAAATTTAGGTCCTTCTCCATCTGAAGTTGAAGTATTCAACGCGTTTGTCGAGGATGATTTTTGGCAACATGTTTCTACAGAAACGAACAAATACGCCGAAGAGACAATTGAAAAAAATAATGCAAGTGGTAAAGTTAAACAGTTACTCTCTGAATGGTTTGAAACAACTCCTGATGAAATGGCATGTTTTTACAGTCTATGTGTTTTGATGTCACTTGTGAAGAAAAGGACCATTCAATCGTATTGGGCCCCTACTGCTACTACTGAGACTCCGTTTTTTCGAAAAGTTATGCCTTTTCGTAGGTTTTTGCTCTTATCAACAATGTTCCATATTTGTGATAATAAAAATAAGCCGCAGAATGACAAACTGTGGAAACTGAGGTATGTCATTGATTACATGAATCAAAAGTTTTCACGGTTATATTTGGCCGATGAAAACATTGCAGTAGATGAAAGCTTGATGAAATTTCGTGGGAGTTTGGGGTATGTGCAATTCAACCCCAAGAAAAGAGCCAGGTTCGGAATCAAATTTTACAAATGTTGTGAGTCAAGCAGTGGATACTGTACAAAATTTAAAATATACACCGGTGCTGAAGTGAAACAAGGCGAAACAGTGGAAGAAGGGGGTGGAGACACTGCTGAGGATGATAAACTTTTGGTGAGCGAGGCCATAGTCATTGAAATGGTCAAGGAATGTTCCGGTAATGGTCATACCCTCACAATTGACTACTGGTATTCCTCACCTCTCCTCTACTATAGATTGAAACATATTGGTTTCAATGTGATCGGCACGGTGAACTCTTGGAGGACAAATATGCCTGACAGCTTCAAAAGTGGAAAACTTGATGTCGGTGAGTATGAAGTTGCGTTTAGCCACGACATGATAGCCCTTAGATGGCAGGACAAGAAAGAAGTGTGTGTCTTGTCTACTTTCCACAGTAAGGGAGACAAAAAAACAACTGGAAAGAGAGACAGAGTCAGCGGTGAGGTGATTACCAAGCCTGAACCCATCCTCTATTACAACAGCTCGATGGGCGGTATCGACCGAGAAGACCAACAGCTCGCTTCTTTTCCTACGATGAGGAGATATGCTAAAGGGTATAAGAAGATTTTTTTTTACATTTTGGACATAGCTCTCTTCAACTCTTATGTTGTTTTTAAAAAAATCACCCAGAAGAAGATTGGATTTGCTGAATTCAAAAGTAAATTTACGGAGCAAGTGTTCCAGACCAGACAACTACCGGCCTACAAACGAAGAGGGCGGCCATCAACATCTGAAACCCCTCTACGGCTTCAAGCAGCTTCTTGGGGTCATTTCCCAAGACAAATCCCACCTAATGAAGTAAAGCAAAACCCATCAAGACGCTGTAAAGTTTGTAGTGCACAAGGGAAGCGTAGTGACAGTCGGTGGGAGTGCGAAATGTGCCTTGTTGCGCTTCACCTACCCGAATGTTTCAAGACATATCATACTAAGTTGAACTTTGCTTGATATCTTTTTGAGTCTACAACATGTCAATCAGTATTTTAAGGCAGAACAGTAAGATATTTTTAACTTTTATAGTCAAAATTTTTTTAAAAAAGGCAAAAATAAAAAAAATTTTAAAATTTTTGTATTATATGGTATAAAAAAATAATAAAAATACTTGTAACCAATAAAATGTTTGTTTTTTTAATCTAAATTCAATTCTGATTAGAAAAATAACAGTATTTGATATACAAATACAAAATTCTGAGTGCAGGTAAAAATATTGTAAATTGTGTAAAATTACACAGAAATAATTCATTTTTTTGGCCCAGTTAGGTGTAAAAATAAGTTTAAGCGAAGGGGTTAAGGGATAAAAAAGTGATAATAGCTTAAAAGAGTATACATTATGGCTATTATTGATATACCAAGTCTCATTACTTTATTTATATTGGTAAAAAATATTACACCGTTCCGGGACTTTTCAAGACTGTATTTTAGAACACATTGTTCACATTCTTGGCTAATGTTGATGTGTCCAGCCTACACAAATGTCAGGCAACTAATCAGTGTCTTATAACCACAAAATTGCTAAGCAGAGTCTGTTAGACATTCTAAATTCACAACAGTTAAATAATGGGTGGTAGAAAACCACTCTAATAGCACATAAACATTAGTCATATTTGTATAGTTTCCACAACAACTGTTACGCATAGAATGAAACAATTCGTTTAAGTTTTTTAACCCGTGCGTGGAGAAAATTCCAGCAAAGCAAGGAGTGAGCTGATATAGTAGCCTATAAGAGTAAAGATTATCTTTAGATTTGTTTCATTAGATAGCAAAGGTAAAAAAGAGGAAAAAAACATGCACATAGGCGAGAAAAATAATTTGTAGGTAAATTTTTTTAACACCACAAACATCCCTGCACTCATCCCAAAAATAAAAAACTCTTAATTTTGACATTATATAATGTTCGCATTAACCTTGGCTCTTAGTTTTAAAATTTTATAAAAATCCATCATTTTCATGGGTTTTTTAATCCAAATATATCTGATACAGTCTAGTTGAAAATAGATTTTCTTCTAAGAATGATTCTGATCCAGCCATAACTTGGTAATATTCTCAAATGTTGAGCTTGCCCTCCACCATAGCCACCTCTATACACAAGGCTGCGACTTTCGAACTGGCAACGTCTCAATCACGCCTGGGTCCGGCACACATGCTAGGCTATTAAACATCAATTAGAGTATTGCTGTTTTCGCCGCTCTGTATTAATGAATAAAAGTAGTTATGTAAATGACAGTGGATTTTAGGATACATTGTAAAATAGACAATTAGAATCAAGGTAGCTAATTTATTTACTGAAAATACTACATAGTACAATATGTATGAAACTAAAAGTACAGACATAATGTTTTTATTTGGCTGTATTTATCATATTTTAAGTACGATGTATGTGGAAATGTCTGGACTTTGCATATTTACTTTGTTATTTGATAATTTTAAATAAAACTCCCATTGCAATTGCAATGGAATTTTTGGAGGCTATAACATCTAAACCTAACATTTTGTTCAAATAAAATTATTTTACATTTGAAATACTGTAGGAATATCATGTTTTAGCCTACCTGAGGAACCATAAATTCCTAAGTAAGTTACAACAATATTAGTACACAATATAAGTTACAACAATGGTTAGTTACAACAATATTTGAAGTTTTCTTTTCTTGTTTGAAGGCATGCTGACTGAAAAATTTATTTTCTTTGAATAATTACTAAGCAAAACGTTTACCATTTTGTAAACGATTCCAGAAGGTAGGCTTTATATGGCTTTCCACGATATGAATTTTGTTATCAAATCAACATTTAAACTTGAGTGTAGTACATATGTTTGACTAGTACTTAAAAGGAACAACAATTTATTTCTTTTAAGTGCTAGTTATTTTGTTCACTTAACAGCAGAGTTTGTCACTAAGATACAAAGGAAAATTAGGAAATAGTCTAGGTACGGGATTCTCACCCAAAACTCGCTTCTCGCGTCTATATTTACACCAATCATTGTCTTTATTCTTATATTTTTCTACAAAAAAGTTCATTTTCATGAAAATGTTTCTCGCAAACACGAGAATTGTTTGAAGGTGTCCAATCTGACAGAGGAATAGCAGGAAGCCACTGTTGATAACGCGGCGGATGACTTGGAATCTTAAAGCACTATATGTATCTATCAGTTTTAATTGAGCTTTCGTAATTACTCTTGTACCCAGGCGCAGCACATCTATCTGAGCATGTTGTAGTAACAAGTTCAATATCCCTACTAATGATAGGTAGTAGAAGAACGAATAAGTAAGTCGGTGCGTGACTCCTCCATTCACTGTAATGGTAAGACGATCGCGCACCAAGACTCAGATGTGACGTTGCCAGTTTTCGCTCGCCGCGGCCCTGTGTACTAGAGAACCGTATGCCTCCACCATAGCCACCTCTGTGTACTAGAGAAGGCTATGCCTCCACCCTTCTTACTTTCGCCATAGGCTGGGTCACAGGCGATGAGTGTTGCACAACTCTCTTAAGACTGCAAAGCCGTATGACCAAGTTTCATTAATATCATATTTGGATTAAAGTATTCAACAGGTCTGCTTTTTTTAGATTACTGGTAGCCCATATGCTGGAATGTTTTGAGGTGCTCTTTATACCAACTTCATATTAACAACATTTTTATCTGTAGTACCTAAGCTATTTTTTTTTTATAATACTGCATCTCGTACGTCAAAGGTAACATTTTAAACTTCCAATGTATCCTAAGTAGTAAATTAAAAAACTATTCTGTTTCAGGGGTGCCCTTCATAATGCGCTTGAGTTATGTGATAAAACCCGGCTTGTTAAAGTAATATCAAACACTTCATTGGATAAAGAAGAGGCCCTACAAGTTCTAGACGTTATAAAGAAAAGTAAAGAAGTTTATAAGGAAAGCATGACACCTTTACAAGCAGCTGTTTCCCTTGGACACTATGATATTTGTCAGCATTTAGTGGAAGAGGATGCCATTTTAATATCTACCTCAACCATCCCTGATCCGTTATGTCTGGCATTGATAAAAGGAGATTATGAAATTGCAAATTACCTTATAGAATCGGGGGTGGGTGATATAGAATTGCCCTTCAAAAATGAACTGCCATTAGGTTTTGCACTAGACAATGAAGATTGTCCTATGGACATAGTAAAAGACTTTATTGATGCTGGTTTTCCTGTTGATGATAGGGTTTATTTAGATACAGGTAGATCTGCCTTACATGCTGCTGTAAATAATAATCATATTAATATTGTTAGGTATTTACTCTCGTTAGAAATTGATACAAACGTAGTTGATAACAGAGGGTTTACCCCCCTACATTATGCAGTACAAAACAACTATCCACTCATCGTCAAGTTATTAATACGAAATGGAGCAAAGGTAGACTGCGAATGTGAGGAAAAATTCACACCGATGTTTTATGCGATTTCCGCTGGTGATTTTGAAATGGTAAAGCTCCTCCTTGGTTTTGGAGCCAACATTCATCATATTAGCGGAAATGAACGATGCCCTATGACGCCTTTACATTATGCAGCAAATTTTTGCAAGCTTAAGATAACACAACTATTACTAGAAAGAAAGGCCAACGTTAATAGTGTCGTTCCTGTTACTGGGGAGATTCCACTACATTCAGCATCTCGGGCAGAAATTGTTAACAGTCCACAGAATCCACAGAATAAAGTTGCTTTGGATTGCATTGTTGAATTACTGATAAATGAAGGTGCAAATCTTGAAGCCAAACAGAAGTTTGGCTTGACACCATTACAATTGGCTTTGAAATACAAAAATATAAGCGTTGCAAAAATACTCATAACATCTGGTTCTGACATAAACAGTAGAGTTTACATTGATAATGATTACTATGGCACAACCTTCCACGTTGTAGCAGAAACATTTGATAAGGACCTGATAAAATTATGCTTAGAACATGGAGCTGATTATATGGCCAAGGATAATGAAGGAGCCAACCCCTGTCATAGGGCTTTGACATACCTCATGCTTAATAACAGTGAAGTCGACCCTCTCCTTGCAAGACACCAACCAGGTGAACAAACAGATGTGGCACTTATGAAACTGTTTTGGAAGTATAGCTATCCTTTTGATCTTACTCTAGAAATTGAATGGCTGAAACCAGGTATGCCAGGGTTCCCGAACAAAGTAGCAAGTGCTGTCCAAAAGCAAAAAATGTTACTAAATGGTATTAAAGCCCAAAATCACAAAATGGTATTGAAAGCATTCTCACAAGGTGCAGAAGCACAATTCTTTTCTAAAGAGCAACGTAATCCTGTGCATTTTATCGCATCTAAAGGCAATGAAGCAATCCTCAAAGAGTTTTTGACAAGAGGAGTTCCTGTTAATTCACTTAACAGGAATGGAGAAACACCTCTCCATCAAGCAGCTAAGGCGGGCCATGTGAATTGTTGTCGCCTACTCTTGGAATATGGAGCTGTGTACAATTACATTTCCACTAAGTCAAACAGAACGCCTTGTCAAATGGCAGCTCAAAACAACCATGGGGAAGTAGAAGGACTTTTGTTAACCATTGACAAACATTTTAAAGATATGAAAAAGGGATATCTTAAAGTTAGACAAGATATGAAGATTTTTCCATTGCTTACAAACTGTGTCCATCGAGATGGGAAGACTCTTCTGGGCAGGGCTCTGGATGGCGATTTTATAGAAGCCGCCTTTAAAATTATGAGAATGCGGTTCCAAAATGTGAAGTTGGAGTAAACACAAATGGACTGCAATCAGTAGTGTTTCTCTGTAATGGAATACTATCCGTTTTACCTATGCTTCATGACGGGAGAGAATTATATGGTTTGATATTGTCACATTATATTGGTATTACCATAGATAAAACATACTCCCTTAGTAGATTTCCCATCCTTATTAAAAAGCTGAAGCCAATGTTATTGTTAGTTCGGTGTACTGTAGATGTCATGTTTTGTTTACAATTTGTTTATATTATTTTAGGGTTAGTTTTTTCATGATTTGTGCCTTACTGTTTGGTTATATAGCTAGTGGACAAGTTATTGTTTATGATTAGATAGTTTTATTTGGTTAAATGAGATTTTAAATTACTGAAATAGCAAAAAACTAATTGTAAATAAAACACGACTCTACAGTACATCGGAGAGAACTGACAGTAAAATTGGCTTCAGCTGTTCCTTAAGGATGGGAAATCTACTAAGGGAGTATGTTTTATCTATGGTATCCTTGTATATAATACGTGAAGGCGATTTCTACGAAACACTACTCCTCCGTTAATAGTGGACGGATTTTTACAAAAGATGTCTCAAAATTAAGTATTTTTTGTGTAGACACCCCTTTAATCAATTCCTGTAATAAAAGTTGTCGGGTTTGATCCACAGGCCATCAAAATTCCAATGTATTTCTTATGAAGGAAAGATTTTGTTTACTTAAACAGAATAATTTGTATTAATTGCATACCGGTACTAAAACAGCTGTTCATAGTAAACACATGATACACACAAGAGCGTTCGTTTTCAGAGTGAGTTTGTTAACAGTTTTGATAACTGGAGTGGAGTGATTGATTACATCTTTGAGTTGACTCTTTTTAAGTAATCGGAAATTATGACTGTTAATTCGTTTTGGAATAACGCCTTTAATACGTTGCAATTGCTTGAATTGAAGCAACAGGTGCGCTAGTTACTCAAATTTTTCGATTTTAGTTAGCCTTCTTTACCTGTAGCCCAATACTGTACATAAATTTCATAGTAAGCATTTTTTTCTCTAATAATACATTTGCATTATTATTAGGGATTTAAAAATACCCAGTTAATTATATCTGCATCTGTGTATATAACCGGGTATTATGATTATTTAGCTACATGCTATACACAAGTTTTAATTCAATATTTCCCCCGTATGTAAAATTGGAATCCACACAAGAATGTTAATTTTATTGTACAAAATAAAAATTTTATTGTAATTTGTAATTTTATTGTGTTTTTTATTGTAATTTTATTTTTTGTTTTTGTTGTGTGTTTTATTGTAGCATTTTATTGGATTAACGAAGTAGACATGCTATTTTTATGGATCAGCAGCTGTCGCCAGTTTTTTTATTGAAAAAGGAAATAGTTGTGCAAGTCACAGGATGAGCTAGTGTCTAAAATTCTATCTTATACCTTATATTTTTTCTGACATAGTTGATGGATCATGATATTGCTATAGCTCACAATAAGTCATTCCACAAATATTGACTTGGTAAAAAAGATTCAACAGAAATCAGTAATTTGGATCAGCGAAATCTGACTCACATAAACTACGATGATTTAGATTTAAAAACTGGTGACAACTTTAACACGGGGATGGAATATCTAGTTGCAGTGCTCAATTTGTAAAAAATGAGGTGTCGGAACTATAACCTATTTGATGAGATTTGTACCTATTTATGTAAATATTTTTATCTTCCTGAAAGAGAGGTACCGGAACTCTGTTGTCTAGTTGTATTAATAGTCAAAGACAGTAGCCCTAAAAAATTATGAGAAAATAACATAAATACAGGGTGTATACAAACTCTCTTGAATGCTTTTGTATATTTGTTCCTTAGGTCAAAACAATGAAAAAACAACACACAAATATGGGTCTGAAATGCCTGGTTTTATGCATGTCTGTTTTTTCATTGTTTTGACCTAAGGAACAAATATACAAAAGCGTTCCAGAGAGTTTGTATATACCCTGTATAATGCAAGTTATATGTAAATTTATTTGTCCTATAGTTACCTGACAGCCAACGAATTAAACTATGCAGTACGTAGTATAGTTCGTTAGACAAAGTCCCCAAATCTTCAAGGAAGGATTAAAATATCTTCCTTGCACTGATTATAGTAGCTCGCAAAATAACTAATTAATTGCTGCATTCACTTACTTTTGCCACACTCCAGTATTCCAACCAAACAACACAAAACAGTGTGCTTTTATTATGCATGTAATACGTGTATACCTAAAAATAAGTAACACTTAGAAATACTACAACTACGAGCAGCTGGTTCAGCGTTTCCTAGGCTTTGACTATTGATACATACTATGATTTAATAACTAACCTGTTGTTTCAAGTTAACATTCTATTTTCGCTCAACGCTTAGATTTAACCTAACCTAAAACGTCTTATTTTGTGTTTGAAAGACTATGTTTTTATATGCTTTATAGTAACTGTAGGACAAATATAATGTGTAACGTGAGCGTTGTGTAACTAGTGCGCAAAGATGCACTTTGCGCACTAGTTACACAAATAACTAATCAAATTTTGTTACTTTATCTACCAATACCCAGATTCCTTAGTCATAGACTAGCAGATCTGTTTCCATGTAGGTTGAGGTTGATGTGTAATTATAGGGTGAAAGTTTATTTTTACCCATTATTTTATATTTTTATCTTTTTTTAGGTTATAATTTAGCCCATTGGTACTACTGTATTGGGTATATCCAATTTATTGTGTAAAAAAAAACTAGTAATTTTTTATGTCAAAGGTAATAAATGTTGTTTAAATATATGGTGTGTAGACATTTAAGAAATTATTAGGATTGAAAAAATAGCCAAAGTATCTTGGTTACTTTTGAAACTATGAGATGACCACACTCTTTTAAAAGATTAAGAAGGTTATCCTCTCCAGAACCAGGAATTATTAAAATAATATTAAAATCATGTCAAGTACCTTGTTGTTCATCAGTGGAGTTTATGGTTCAAATCTAGAGAATGTTTTTTTTTTAATTTGCCTTCTAATTGAATAAAGTCCTTGTTAATTCTGTGAGTATTTTAATCTGAAAAACCACTTGTGTAAAAAATGTTCACAACTTGAAACAAGTATAAATTGTTAAAAGTTTATAGCAAGAATTGACTTGCATTATTGTTAAAGCTAAAAGAAGCTGTAGCTTATATTATGCTAGTAATGTATGAGGCCACTAGCCATTTCATCTTGAGAAGTAGGCGAACTACAGTAGACTCTCGCTCATCCGGATCAGCCTTGTCCAGACTCCCGCTAATCCGGACCGGCAGTAGTGATTTTTTTTAGTGGCACAGTACAGTAGAAGTCTGATTAACCGAGGCTACCTCGGATGTTCAAAAACTCAGATAACACGGCGGTGAAAAATTATTACTGGTGGAACTGCATTTGCCCGGCTATCAATACTGTGGACCTGGAACAAAATTGTAAAAACGGCTGTAAACGGTACTGTTTTGCTCGACTCTCGATAGTCCAGATTTTTCGTAATCCGGACCGGACGTTTACCACATTAGTCCGGATGAGCGAGACTCTACTGTATGGTGGCTATTGCACTACACTCAAAAAATATTTCTCTATCTCCAAGTGTTTCTGTTATTTATTTTTTTTTTTACTTATATTAATCACTTTTATAATACCGTACTGTTCAACTAAATTCTATGTTCATTTTATTTAGTTAGGTAATAAAGTGTTTGGTATAATTTTTGTATATATAGTATAACACTTTTGTAAACCTTAAACACTTGTTAGGGTAGAAACAGACAGACAGCGAAGCGACGCGACGCGAAGAGAAGCGTTTAAGAGCGAAGCGATAACATCGCACACATACAGCGATTACAAGTGGCGAGGCATAATAAATTAATACAGAAAAAAATAATAAATATACAACAAATAAATAAACTAGTGTTATCCTAAAATTAAGCTATAGAATTTTTAAAAATTTATTTCTAACTGTTATAGTACAAATTGTCTGCTAATCCCATACCGCTTTCAACAGAAAGTAAGGTAAGGATTCAGGGATCATATCGTGGCTTGCAATCAGTAGGCTTTACTTACTTGTTGTGTTGAGAGCCAAGGGGATTTCATCCCACATCTTGTCAATGATCCCTCGGTTGTCGTTGTCGTGGTTCTTGTATTCATTCTACCATATAGCGGGGTTTTCATAAACACAATAAGTAGTTCGATGTCTATGCGCTGTAATGGTCACCACCACCTGTTTTCGCTCCAAATCGCGCTTGAAAAACTAGTTTGTTCCACTAAAGTTCACTTCGCTCTCAGTTGTGCTTTGTCTGTTCGCACTAACCTGATAACATGTGATTGATCATGTTGCTTCGCTTCACCATGCTTCACTTCGCTGTCTGTTTCTACCCTTATATTAGTGTATTGTATTTTGACTTTTGCTCTAAACTTAATTTTTTTTTGACGCTACAGACCATTTCTGGACGTACAGAAAATTTAAAAAATACTCCACCACAGCAAACCTGCAGACTAAGCGAATTTCCATTTACCTGTCTTGATTTCTACTAAAATATTCTCTAAAAATTGTCAGATTTATTTCCTATTTAAATAACAAGAATTTTAGTGAGTACTTAGGTTTGCTGCTGTGGGGAAGACATTGAGGTGTGTTTTTTTTTAATTTTAATGTTGATAGCTTAGTGTGAAATAAACAAAATTGGCAAATTTGCTCATTCATTCATTTGCCTCATTGGATTTTTCCTCAAGTATTTCATTAAACAGATCAGATTTAGGCCCGATTTATTTGTGAAATGTTATAGATTTTGTAAAATCAATAAGTTTGCCAAGTTTTATCAAAATATATCTATAAACTAGTAAACTACAACAGTTTACCTATTCTCCATAAGAATAACATTGGGGATTTCATTTTACAATTGTTTGAATCTTCTCTGACATCACCTATAACAATGCAAAAACACTTCAAGGTACTAAACTGCATTTTTTAAGCTCTACAAAATGGTCTAGAGAGAAATTTTATGTTTTGAGGGCCTAAAATGAGAAAACCCTATTTTAACCGTTTTGTCTGAGGTTCTCTTGACAGCCTACTATGGACTTTTTTATCCTTATCTGATATATGCTATACCTGTCTGGGGGTGTGAAAGCCAAAGGACTCAGTTCATATTCAAGCTTAAAAAAAGGCTCTCTGAACTATTTTTTCGCTTTACCGTCGCCAATCCTGCAAATAAGTCTTCAGATCACATAAAGTTCTAACTTTTCCCTTTCGTTTACATTTTAGAAACTATAATTTTATTAAGAAAACCCAATCATCATATAGCTCTCCAAGTATCCATAGTTATCCTCTCCGCAACAATTTCAATCTTCAGTACCACGACACTCAACCACTTTTTTCCATAAAAACTTCCACTTCAATGCAGTAAAACTTTTTAATGACCTCCCTCTCCCTTTGAATGCCGAACAGGATATCGGAACATTCAAAAAATGTGTTAAGTATAAGTCCATCTTAATAAATAAGGTCTGCTACAGCGTCCGGGAGTTTGCTGGTAGTCCTTATTAAACATCACAAGGGGTTGTACCAAACAATTTGTATATATATGTATGTATTTAGTACTTAATTAATTTCATAGCAAATGTAATTTTATTAGTAAAAACCTGGCCAATGCAAAATATTTGTTAATCTGGCTTAATAAAGGACTTTGACCTTGACTTGTGACTTTAACGAAAAACCCCATTCCCATAATCCGGTCATGAAATGTTATCATTTTACCCAAGTTCTTATACTAATGGAAATGCATAGGCTAGGCTATATAAAATATTTTGTGTGTGTGAGTTTAAATTTTAACAGATTATGTTTTTGGTATCCGTGGACATCAAAGCATCCCAGGTCCAGGTCTTACCAAGACACCTACGTTAATAGCTTATTATCTTATAGCTAGACAAACCAGGTAAAATTAATTATTTAGGACAGGTAATAAAATATGATAAAATAACTAAAGCTGTTTCATGCTGCTATACGAGCACATCTTCAGGTTAGAACGTTTTGACTGTTTTCAACAGTTTTGAATGAGGTCGTCAGCATTTGTACATTGCACATGAAACATATAACGACATTTATGTATTTACAATAAAAAACTTGGCCAAGTAGTCCGACCGCAAGGTGCGGGTGTTGTTTTGATGCTCTGTAAATCTCAAATTCTTCCATGATATCCATTTGTCTGCCTTCATTGCACAGATGCACGATTTCTAAATTATTGTGTAGGTCACTGTAATTATGGTTTGAATTACATAAATGTCGTTATGTATGTGTTTCGTGTCATATGTCCTAAATGTACAATGTACAAAATGCTGACGATCTTATTCACGGATGAGAAAACTGTTCTAACCTGTGTTCGTATAGCAGCACGAAACAGCTGTAGTTATTGTATAACACAAGGATCAATTGATGCAACAGAGGTAATTTAAACCTTATAAATCTTGCAATATCTTGATCCAGAGGCTAACCCATCATGAAATTTAAAAGTATCTGCATAGGGCGATTTTCCCTCGCCCTAAATTAGAGCTTGGGAAACGACTACTTTCATTGATGTCAGCTGTTCGAAAATAGTTACTTTCGTTACGGAGTGATGAAAAAGTTATTTAAATAGGTCTATACTTCAAAAGTTTTGAGCAGCAAACCTCATTTTAATAGAGGTTAGCCACCTGACTGTGGCATCTTTTATACTGTATTTAATTTCTGTATATTTTTTGTAGTTAAACAAGACTAACGCCATTCACTTCTGATCTAATCAATAAGTACACTGACACAGCAAATCGGGAGGCAAATCAACGCTCACCAATAGCAAGTGGTCGGCGAATGCCATCTTTATTGGCCACAGCAAGCCAAAATTGGTGACAAATAACACTTTCTGTGCCCCTTCTATTGCTATTTTGTGTTTGTAGAACATGGCATGATGTATTGATAACTCAATAGTTTCTTGATTATTGTGGTAAAAAAATAGGTACCTGCGACAGCTGGCTACATCCAAGTAGGCACAGCCCACCTTATGGAGAGATCACCCGGTATTCCCAAGGAGTAATACCAACATGGGTATTTTATAAATAGTCTTGGATAATAAGAAGTAAATTAATCATGGATAATAAAAAGACTTGTTCACCAACATTTTTCTATTTATTCAGCAGTGACGGTGATCTAAACATTGGCTTGAGGAAGCAAGCTCGTGCAAGCCTGATTAGAAAAATAGTAACATTGCAAAATTTATCTTACAGATATCTTACATCCATAACATAACGTAAACAGCAGGTTTCGGATTACAGCTCAAAGTGTATAATACAACAGCTCTTTTAAAATTTTATAAACTCGGTTAAATAATTTATTAAAATATTTACGTCATGCATGACAGTATTATAAGCAAAAAATAATATTTTAAACATATTTAACATATAATCATATCGTCTATCACTAGTTTGAATTTTTGCCTACTAAAAATTATACATAAAAAAATACAATAATAAGATGGCATCTTGAACAAATTATTATGAACTAGACAATTAATTTCAAACAGTACAACAGTTTATCTACAAACATGAAAACATAGAAAACAATTATTATTGCAAAAGATATGCCAGACTGGAGCGTTATGATGGAATGGTTGAGAATAGTTTTGATAGTTTACTTGAAATAAAACCTGTGAGTTTCAGGAAAATCTTAGTTTAAACTAGAAAATAAATATTGCTACTTAATAAATACCCTTATGGTACTAGGTAGTTAAAATACAAATTATATACAAAGATGAATGTAACGAGTATTTCAATTAGTTGTTTGAACTGGTAACAAAAAGGGAACATACGATCATAAAGGCTTAATTAACCAACATACAGTGTCTCACTTGCCTTGAGTCAAAATACAATTGCAGCTTTAACAGTTTTTAGTAAAACAAGTTTACTAAAATATTCCAGATTCAGTAAGTTAATATGAACAAGTGAATATTACAAGAGTCAAACATTTGTTTTCCAGAAGTGAGCTTTTAAAAAACTTCTTGTAAAAACCATTCAACAGGATTTGTAAACTCGTGTAATTTTGTACTCTAACAAAATTGGTATAGCCTCCACTAGGATGGTGTGAGGCAACATCATGCCTGTTGCCATGGTAATAACAGAAATAACAAAAGTGTAAACATAAACATTTCCCATACTGTCCATTATAAATTAGTGCAACAGCTGTTGTGGTTTGTCAGGACAATGGTGTTGCCGATGTCTCGGCACGGCTTTGTATTAGAGGAGGATATGAAATTAGTCATGGACAGGCCTTGATGAACAATTTAGATTTGTAGTACAGTAGGTACCAGACTTAGCATCTAGACTTTATATAGACCTAGTCGATTTGGTTGTACTTAAAGATATTCAGGATAGCAAGATACAGCTATATGTGAAGTTTAATTATCAAAATTAAATAGTTTTTTCAATATATTTGTTGAAAAACAATTCCTAAACTGATTGATTTGAACAGCCAGCAGTAGTTAAAGAGTAGATATAAAGGCTTCATAGGTTTACTCGTCTTATATAGTATTTTAGATAAGTATTATTTTCAGTAATCAAATGTTTCTAGTAATCTAAAAACCTCTCAGTCCCATAAGTGTTGGATTATCAATAGAATAGTATTTATAAAATTTAGCTGAGTAACCATCAAGAACTGGACATAGTATATTCCACAAAAATATAAAACAGTACTGAAAATAAACAATAAACCTAGATATTTTCCTATGAATTCCTCAAAATTAGCTCTTTGGTTGTATAGATGAAACAATAAACTGAATATTGATACAGCAGATGAATATGTACAACACCAGCATGTTCCCTACATCTAAATCACTGACATATAACAAGACAAAGGAAAGTGGTACATAACTGTCGAGTAGCCTAAACTATAACATCATCTCTATGTTTGTGCAAGGAAGGATGAGGGGCCAGCTATACACAGGCTTATGTACAATCGGATATGCGTTTGACAACACTTAACTTTCATTCTTATTTCTTTTCACATAATTTAACTCTCAATCGAGTGACTGTCGCAAAACTAATTTGTTACCTGGTAATTACAACTGTGGAAGAATTTGTACGAATATAGATTTGTTGATACTGTAAGAGAATAGTCATTTTCCTTAATGACCATCAACTGTGGTTGATTTGTAAATAGGATAAAAAACTCACCAATTTATTTAGTTTCAACAAATTATGAATACTGTTGAATCTGGCTCATTCAGACTCATGTGGTAAACTGTGTAAGTTGATAATCATTATTGATCTGAACAAACACCACTCTTGGACTAGACCAAGAGACTACTGTAGAAAAATTAAAGTGATATTTTTACAATTGCTGTTGAAATCATTCCTACAAATAAAGTGTAAGACCGATTTTCAATTATATACATTTTATCCTCAAATTCACACATTCTTTAACTGCGACAAAGCTGTAGCTAGATATATCTACACACCAGTTGCATAACACATTGACGGCGTTTATTAGATTTATATCAAAAACATAACACCTATTTTATCGGAGTGAGTCACAAGCTGTGCACTTAACTCTACTTTGAAACTTTGATATCTAACATAGCTTGACAATATTTCTCTTTACAAAATACAAATACAGTAGCAAAGTACACTCAAGCTGTTGATAAACATGTTCTCTTTCTATGTACAATCTCTTGTTTACATTCGAGTTCCGAATTCTTTTCATTTTGAAGGTTACAAATGTAAATCCTTTCGTACATTAGTATTATAGGAATATCATCATTTTTCCGCTCCTTATCGGGAATAACGCTATCATTGGAGTTAAATGCTTAGTAAAAAAGAACTGATCATTGGCAATAAGTAGCCATGGCTTACTTGAATGAACATTCACTGAATACATGTTGCACTCTACACATTTTGTCTCAAATCATTGTTAATTAATTGTAGACCTACTAATGTCCATTTTAAACTTCATCAACTCAGAATATTAAAATTTTTATTTGTAATTTTTTGTAACAAAAATAATAACATAGATGATACCTTCAACTTTGGAAACTGCAAAAAGACTTCCCATCCTATTGTAAAATCCGTTTTTCCTTCTATAAAGACTGTTTTTACATTAATTTTACTTTGCTTAGTGTAACGTTAAGTGTGCTGATGGATTGTTTTATTAGGTCCAAACAGTTTATGAGTTCCTATTATAAAAAATATAGTTAACACCAAAATACAATGATCATACAGTGTGGAAACCTACATTGACATGTTTTTAAGTGATAAAAAAATATTTATTCTTATTGTAAAAATGGAAAACATATTTTTTACTTTAAACAACGATTTCATTAAAATAAATACATAGACTCTGATGTGTAGAGTACAGTCAGTGAATGATCATGATCATTGTAAGTTGCTCAGTACTCCCAAGGCATGCTGGCCAGCTGCTGCAGTCTGCGAGAGTCTAGCGACGGAGACAATAGAGACTGCAGCTGTAGGTCATCACTGCCCCCTCCACCACCACTGAAGTAGCGAGACGTCAGTGGAGACTGCAGGTGTCTGTGTGGGATCACTTCCCTCTCCTCTGCTGCTAAAGACCACAGATCCTACAACAGTTGGTTCAATGTGAGCAACACACCGTAGTCTGAATATAAAATTTGTAGAAGGACAAGGTAAAGTTTAGGGTAGGGGTCTGTGTTGTTAGGTGTAGTCGTCGAAGACGTTCACAATTTCTTCTTGACCGCTGGGGAAGATGTTCACTATTTTGCCATGACCACAGAATATGTTCATAATTTCGTCAGACAGTAGAAGATGTTCACTATTTTGCCATAACCGCAGAAGATGTTCACAATTTTGTCAGACAGCATATGATGTTCATGACTGCGAAAGATGTTCATAATTTTGCCATGACCGTAGAAGATGCTCACAATTTCATCAGACAGTAGATGATGTTCACAATTTTGTCAGACAGTAGATGATGTTCATGATTTTACCATGACTGCGAAAGATGTTCATGATTTTGCCATGACCGTAGAAGATGCTCACAATTTCGTCAGACAGTAGATGATGTTCATGATTTTACCATGACTGCGGAAGATGTTCATGATTTTGCCATGACCGCAGAAGATGTTCATAATTTACTCTGATGTGGACACCGGGAATTGTACTTGAATTTTTGGAGAAACTGTCCAACACCTGAAGTAGTTTGTTTTCCTGAGAGTTTTACTACTACACAATTCGCACTTGCAAAAAGAACTTAATAATTCTTTTTTTTTTTATGATGTGATTAATCAAATAACTCTCTTTCCAAAAATACTAGTCTACTTCAAATAATACGGGTGTAGAGAGGTTGTTAGAAAATGGCTAGTATTTACCAGTGTAATTTATAAGAGTAAAAATTTATGAAACACATTGCTGTCTACACTAGTAAAAACCACTAGTAATACTAGTCCCTACACTAGTAGATTTTTGAAACGTAGACTTGTAAAATACACTAGTATTACTAGTCCATGGACTAGTAAATACTAGACTAGTAGTTTTATGAAACAGGGCCCAGGTGACAAATTTTTACCATTGAATCTCCAACAATTTATGATACACAACCGCATTCAGTTTTTCTCCATGAAGTTGAAAATCATATACAGATTGACTAGCTGAAAGTCACACAACATCATCATAGCATACCTGCAGTGATAGAGCTTCTTCTCAGGATTCTGAGGTCCGTGATCGTCGTCCTGTCAGTCCCGAGACCAGAGACTTGATGGTTGCGCCGAGACCCTTGCCCTGAGCACCTGCTCCTGCGGTGGCACGGCCGGGGTGTGCGTCCAGGCACTTCTGGTACCTCAGCTGGAAGCAACAACTGGGCTTGAGATGAAACTTTACACGTTTCCTCAACTTAACACTCATTTTCCGGTAGTTTTTACATCTTTAATGCCAGAAGCTGATTTTATGCTCCAGTACCAAGCACTACCCGGTAGAGACTTTTTATTCTATTCAATAATTTGTTTTTATACTTATTTTAAGACGTAGATAAACTCCACCCTTCATTGTTGCGTAACCACCGACACTAAGTTATAAGTTTCCTAAATCTTACATAAACTTGAATTACAATCAAAATGTACGATCAAACTATGTAAAAAGATGATCATTCTTATGTCTAACAACAAGTAGTTGCTACTGTTGCTGACCTTGCAAGCGGCTTCAATGGTCTTACACAGAGCCCCAGAGCTGGGCTCACAGTGGAACACATGGGCGATGAACAAGTCCTGCGCTGTGTGCATGATGAAGGCGCACTGCTTCACATTTTGGCCGATGCCTAGGAACGACAAGTAGCGCACTCTGCACTCTGCCACCGGCTTGCACTCATCCTGCCACAGAACACCTTATGTCATAGAAACCTACCATAAACTGTAACGTAACATGCAGTAAGAAATATTTCTACATGTTTCAAATGTCCTCCAGTTCAACTCTCTTACAAACAGATAAAAAGCCCAAACCAAAGAAAACATTTAATAGATAAGTGAACGAATCTATGTATCGTGTATAGCGGAGTCGGAGAAAAGTTGTCCGCTGGAGTATGTGTGTGTGTGTGTGTGTGTGTGTGTTCGCACCTAAAACTCAAGAACCGTTGCACTTATAGCGTTCAAATTTTGCACAAATAGTTATGACACCAGTGTAGAGACACCATTAAAATTCTAGACGATTCCGCTCAGTAGTAATTATAAAATACTTAAAAAAACATTTTTAAATTTGTCCCATAAGAATAACATTAGGAGCTACCTTCTTCTTCTTTTTATTTGTTTACGTTTTGCGACCAACAATTTTGTTGTCTACTTAAGACAGAGAGAACGACTTTTACTCTAAGCTCTTTCATTCATGGAGTAAACAGTTTGTCGTCTATGAATATATATCATTATAATTTCACAGCTTTCAGAATAATGTTATTTAAGCTAATTAAATTTCACAGCTTTCATAATAATAAATTGAACTTAACAATATTAGTCGGCAGTTATATACTGTTTATGTTCAGTATTAAAATTTCGCCTTTTAATTAAAATTATATAGGTATGTATGTATTTAGAACAACGCAGCTTTTTACATTATTCAATTTAATGTTGGCATTGAATATTAAATATTCAAAAATGTTGGTATATTTTTATACTAAAATGCTATGCGAAGGGGGGGGGGACAGATCCCCGACGTAGAGAGTAGTAAAGAAAGCGGAAAGGTGAGCAGTGAAAAGAAAGGAGTACGGAAACCCTTTATGACTGTTAAATTAACGTATCTGTAATACTTAAATGCTATGGAAAGATAGGGAAACAGGTCTACGATGTAGGAAGTAGTGAAGGAAATAGTGAAGGAAGTAGTCAAGGCGAGCGCTGCGGAGTGTGGGGGGCCTTTATGACAGTTAGAATAATGTATCTGCAATTCTAAAAATGCTATGGGAAGGGAGAAAAAGAGGTCCACGATGTAGGAAGTGGTGAAGGAAGTAGTCAAGGCGAGCAGTCCGGAGTGTAGAAACCCTTTGTGGCAGTTAGATTAATATAACTGCAATTCTAAATTCCAATAGGAAGGGAAGGAAACAGGTCCACGACGTCGGAAGCGGTGATGGAAGTAGTCAAGGCGAGCAGTCCGGAGTGTAGAAACCCTTTGTGACAGTTAGATTAATATACCTGCAATACTAAAATGCTATAGGAAGGGAGGGAAACAGGTCCACGACGTAGGAAGTGGTAATGGAAGTAGTCGAGGCGAGCATTCTGAAGTGTAGAAACCCTTTGTGGCAGTTAGATTAGTGTAACTGCAATTCTAAAATGCTATGGGAAGGGAGGGAAACAGGTCCATGACGTAGGAAGCGATGATGGAAGTAGTCGAGGCGAGCAGTCCGGAGTGTAGAAACCCTTTGTGACAGTTTGATTAATATACCTTCAATACTAAAATGCTATAGAAAGGGAGGGAAACAGGTCCACGACGTAGGAAGTGGTAATGGAATTAGTCGAGGTGAGCATTCTGGAGTGTAGAAACCCTTTGTGACAGTTAGATTAGTGTAACTGCAATTCGAAAATGCTATGAGAAGGGAGGGAAACAGGTCCACGACGTAGGAAGCGGTGAAGGATTTAGTCAAGGTGAGCAGACCGGAGTGTGGGAACCCTTTGTGAAAGTTAAATTAATCTATTTGAAATTCTAAAATGCTCTAGGAAGGGAGGGAAACAGGTCCACGACGTAGGAAGTGGTGAAGGATGTAGTCAAGGTGAACAGTCCGGAGTGTGGGAACCCTTTGTTAAAGTTAAATTAATCTATTTGAAATTCTAAAATGCTATAGGAAGGGAGGGAAACAGGTCTACGACGTAGGAAGTGGTGAAGGAAATAGTCGAGGCGAGCATTCCGGAGTGTAGAAACCCTTTGTGATAATTAGAATAATGTACAGTATCTGCAATTCTAAAAATGCTATGGGAAGGGAGGGAAACAGGTCCACGACGTAGGAAGTGGTGAAGGCAGTAGTCGAGGCGAGGAGTCCGGAGTGTGGGAACCCTTTGTGACAGTTAGATTAATGTATCTGCAATAATAAAATGCTATGAGAAGAGAGGGAAACAGGTCCACGACGTAGGAAGTGGTAAAGAAAGTAGTCAAGGTGAACAGTCCAGAGTGTGGGAACTCTTTGTGACAGTTAGATTAACGTATCTGCAATAATAAAATGCTATGAGAAGAGAGGGAATCAGGAAATACATTACGTATATTACCAATGACTTTGGTTAATTAATGGACGAGAAGTTAGGATTGTTGTTGACTGAGATTTGGTTTTTTAAGAGGTTGGTCCAGCCTCTTTTAACCTCGCCCGTGCGTGGATCGTTTACAGCAAAGCAATTGGTGAACTGTACTGATAAAATTTAGTGGCAGTGACCAGGATCCGAACTCGCGACATCGCTGCCTTGGGCCCGAAGTTCGCGTGACGCTACCGACTTGAGTCACCGACTCACCATTATTTGCCCCGACTCATGGGTTGATTTGCCCATACAAATAACATTATTGTGTACACCAGTGACACCGGTAAGTGTGCTAGGTGTGGGTGGACTCTTTCATTATTGCGCTAATGTTCACTCATCCTGTTACGCGCAGAATAAGCGTACTACTAGTATCTTGTCTGTGATTGTATCATCTGGCAACTATAGATAAGAACTCGAGGTATTGAAGAAACAGCAGTCAATAGTTACGGTAATGGATTATTTTTAGTTTAGTCCATTTATTAGGTCCTAAGAACAATAAAATATGTATTTTCATTTTGTAGTATATACATTAAGACAATGTTGTGACAATGAACACACAAGATTACATGAACTATCAGAATAACTTTTTGACACTCAGTTTTTGTTGTTGTAAGATAACAATTTGTGGTAGCTGGATGACGAATCTTGGTTCACCAAAATCCTTAAGGTGTTTCTCCACACCTTAAAGTGTGTATTTATAAATAACACAACCACAAAATTCCAAACCTTAGAAAATGTTCAGTCCCTTTTTTGGCATAATTTGTTTTGCCATCCAGTAAAGCCAAGGCTGAATTTTTATGTAAACATATACAATACTAATATGATGTTATTGAAAAATCGTAGGTATGTAGGTGTGACTCACATCATTGATGGTGATCATGGAAGGGGCGACACTGACACTGACGGGTCGCCACTGGTCCACGGGTACTGTGTTGACCAGCTGTTCAATGGCGTCGTTGAGAACGTCCATGCCAGATGCCCGAGCCACCTGCAGACTGCCCAGGTAGTCTGCCCTCAACACCTTCTTGGGCTCCTCCATGGGTGTGGGGAATGACTGGGCTGAGACATTACACAACTGTTAATGCATAGACCTCTATAGTGGGGCTCTACAACAAGTCGCAACAGAACGTCCATAATGTTCCACATTTGATTACACAAAATCCTCCAAATGTGGTAACCAAAACCCATAAAGATAAATAAGTAAACTACCTGCTGAGTTTTGTGTGACACCTAAAATGGGTGGAATGAGAGAAGTATAAGAATATGTCTTTCAAAAAAATACAAATTTACAAACAATACAAATTTACTAACTCATACAATTTAGCTACAAAAGCCGTTAATGGCTTGTACCCAGCATTATTACATTTGGTGTTATTTCACAGAGCTTTTTATTCAATCAGTCTTTTGTGTGTTCAGTCACTGAGTGTACTTACTGACTAGAGTCTGGCCGTTACGATGGAACCTCCGGTGCTCCACAGGAAGGTTTGTAGGTCTGGTGGCCAAGCCAGCTCGGCTACCTAACCCACCGCCATCTGTAAACATACACTCATTAGTCAGGTGAAGCAACATTAAATGAGTCTATGGCAGAATCAGTAGTGCACCAGTAATGGAATGCAAGGCAGCCTAAGCCAGGTATCAGAGCCGCCATTTTACCAGTGCAGTTCACTACTTGTAGCTCTCATCTGGCTTTGCTTGAGATACTCACTCCATGCACTTTTTTAGACTTGTATGTAAGGGTGAATTTAACAAAATGGGCTGCCAACTTCTTTTTTATACCAAATTAATTGCAATTTGTGATGACCATTGACAAATGAGAATTCCTGTCAACAAGTCCCTTAAAATGACAAATTAATAGAATACCAGTTTATTGTTGAGAATAAGAGTGGCAAAACAATGCAAATAAATAGCTAAATGTTTACAAGAAAAGTGTACAATTATAAAGATCAAAGCAACAGGTTTACATTAATTTATATTCATAAGAGGTATATCACAAATCATAACTTTGGTGAAATTTCAGTACTGAATATTGAATACCTTATATTACTTTAGAGTCTCATTGAAGTTCAACTTATGTTTCTTTGTGCAATGATTTTGTGTTGTTTTTACTATTTCTAGGTCCAAAACCAGAGCCACTGACAGAATTTGTAGCATTTGTAGCATTCAATTAGTTATTGTGTGACAATCACAGAAATTCATCAGGTCTAGTAAGCAAGTGTAATTTACATCATAAGTTGTAATGTATTTCACTCACTAATATCAATAGGCTTTGCCAGGTTCTGTTGTAGACTCCTCTCTATCATGATCTTCTTGCAGATGTCTCGCAGAGTGTTTGCGATAGTCCGAGCAGGAATGTCACATCTGAACACGTGACACATGTGTTTGCGTGTTGTGCGGTCGCGTGCCACGTACGCAAAGTCCCTGTCACAAACATTAGCAATAACAAATAAGTGTGGACAGTACACAATACAATACCTAATGTGCTCTGTTTAGAAATCTTGAAAGTATATGTAAATTGGCTATAAATTAGGATTTTTAAATACAAGATATTGTTACTCAAGTTCTATTATTTTGGATCCTCTGAATTTATTGCACAGTCTGTCAGGTTAGGTAAGGTTCATATATAAACTATATTTTGTCCACTTCCTTGCCTTGTTTATTAGATGAAATGTAGTTACACACCTAATGTGCATATTAAAATTAGTGAGGTTGAGATAAAAGGTGAGTACCAAAACATTTTTATGAAGAAATTTTTGAATATATTAATGAAGCGATAAGAGTTTTAGTGTAAATGGTTAAAACTGTATTGCTTAATAAGTTAAGTAAGGTGTTCAGAAGCTAAGTTAGTAAAATCTTACAATGACAAATAATTAGAAAAATTGCATAATTGACAGAAGAGATCCCGTAACTTTCAACCATGCAGAAAGCTATACACATCCCAAAAGAGATAAACAGAACATTCATTGACATAAATCTTGAAACTGTAATACCTAAAAAATTTATATGAAAATTCCAAAAAGAATCATGCAACATCCTCTGTTTTAAAACATGCTAGGTGTTACATTACAGGCATTAAAAGCAAATAACTGTCTTGTAATGATTTTCAAAGTACAGTACTTCTATTTCTGCCACTTGTGAAAAATGAGTGACTTATTAAAGTGTAACAATAAAATTGTAGGCCTATATCTTATAGGTTTAAAATCAATGAACAATACAAACATATAAAGTAGTGAGGATGCAAAATAAAGTTTTTAATCATAAACAAATACACAACTCCAACTTATCAAACGCAAGCGTACAATATTTAATTTTGGCAGCAAAAACAAAGCATATTTTACATCTCAGCCAGTAAATGTTTTTGGACAGACCATTCCATTATTCTTTCCATTATGCTTCAAAATGAAGACAATGTGTACACAGTCATGCAAACATGAAGCAACAAAGACACATTTACTGTAGTATTTACCTCTCCCTGGACATCGCCACGGCAACCACAGGGAACAAACAACAACACGTTAGACACTAGTCACTACAGGACGAATCACTACGTCTAGCTTGCTGGCTAGTCAAGCATAATACAGAGTGACCCACAGGAACCGGATGTTTTTTAAACAGATAGTATACGCAAGACATTGCATTGCATTGTCGTGGGGGGTAGGGGGAGGAGTGTCATTCATTGCTGTTTAACTTTATATTATGCCGTTTTATTAACCAGGGTGCATTTAAAGGTAACACCTAACACCATATGTTTGCCTATTATGAGTATGGGCAGCACAGAGACTTTTTGGTCCGCAGGACATCGACTCGAAAATCTCAGCTCGGGCTTCAGTAGCTATGTTGCGCCGTTGAACAGCGCCGCGAGAAGCTCTTGCAGACGTTCACGGCAACTGCCTTTGTAAACTACCCATACATGCTAGTAAAAAACAATGAATGGGGTTTTACAGAAAAAAAAACAATCTATGCGTCTCTGATTCTAGAATTTTAAAGTAACAATTCTATAATAAGTTGAAGCAGTTTAAAATTGCCGTCTTTCGTCTACATTCAAAGAAGATTTTAAGGCTTTATGGTACGATATTAAAAATATTTATATCACAACACTCTAAATAATTTAATCCTCTTCAAAATGCCACCCTAACTTTGATTCTACGTTAAGTGTAGCCTTTGGAAACACGGTTGCCCCAGACCCTTGTGTTTACACAAAACGGCAGAGGTAGGGGGGACCCTTAATATGCTTTTTAAGTATTTTTTGAGGTCACAGGTGAGACAGCAACATTGGTTCTTTACTACTAACCCTGTTTGCAACTATGAAGTTTTTTAAACGGAAAAACTTGTTTAATTTTGTGATTTTAAATACCATATTTATCTTATCAAAATTCTTTCCCAATTAAGGTAACAAATCAATGTACATAAAACAAACTCCCAAAATGAGAAGTTTTAACCCATTGGCGACCTATCACGAGTATACTCGTGATGGCTTCAAGTGGCCCAAAACCACCATCACGAGCTATCTCGTGATGACGACATACTTTATTGTTATTCTTTTTACTTGCATTTAACATTATTTTAGTAGCTTTTTACAACTTTTAGGGCTATATAGAACATCAAATTTGATAAAAAAGCTATTTAAAGTCAATTATTATATGCCGTAATATTTATATTGATTGCGTAATATGGACCTATTTCGTTCGCAGCTGTTGGTCACTACGTCGCTAGCTTAGTGACGGTGTATTAGTCTGCTGTCACAATTGTAAACAACAAAATTGTGTTACATGTTTGTAAACATTACGTGTGTCTACATTTTCAAATAATAAGTGTGTTTATATTGAATTTTATGACGAATAAAACAATGAAGTGTCAGTTTTTTCAATAGTGTTTTGTTAGTTTTTAGTTGTTGTTCTATTACAGAAGACGAATTATTTTTCGGAAATGTTTTACCGTAGTTGAAGGTTATATGATGGCTCGTAGGGACGATTTTTTATATTCCAGTGAAATAGATAGAATTTTATTTGAGGAAAGCGACAGTGACCAAGAACGTAGTAGTGATTCTAGTGATGATTGTTTTGGGGAAGTAGAAGAGTTGGATCCTCGATATCTTGTAGAATCAGATGGTGAAGATGGGATAGGCCTAGCCAATTCAGACCAAGGCGATTGTTTTGGGGAAATTGAAGAGCTGGATCCTCAGGATATTTTGGAATCAGATGGTGAAGATGGGTTAGCCAATTCAGACAGAGACCAAGGTGAGGCTGTAAGTGGTAGTGTAGGTTTTGATGAAGTACCTATTGATGATATGGACATTGAAATCGAAATGGGGCAAGGAGATAGGTCCAGTCTTGTACCTTTGGTTTCTGAGTCAATTGAAACTAGGCCTACATCTATGTCTGTTCCTGAGTCAATTGAATTTCCTAGGCCTGGACCAAGTAGGCCTAAACCTAATACTCTTCGAACGAATAAGCCTTCAAAAAGAAAAGTAGGAAGAAATACCAATACAAGACAACCAAAAAAAAGTAGGGCTAAGAAAAAAAAGAAAATAAATAAAAAAAAGTCACAATGGAACTGGGAAGATAAAGACAATGTCCCTAAAACTATTCCATTTGTTGCTACCCCCGGCCTAAATCCAATTTATGCACGTCGACTGGGAAACACCCCCTCAGAACTTGACATTTTATCTCAGTTTTTAGGGAATGAGTTTTACTCTATGTTGTGTGTTGAGACAAACGATTACGCAAATAAACAATTGAATGACCCTAATAGAAGAAAGCTTGCAGATGATAAGTTGTGGGTGCCAGTTACTGTGCCAGAAATAAAAGCATATCTGGCACTTTATATTCTAATGGGCCAGGTAAAAAAGCCAAGGATAAAGATGTACTGGTCGACTAGGAAAATTGTAGAAACAACTATTTTTTCAGAAGTCATGACATATAAGCGATTTTGTCTTATTTCACAATTTTTGCATTTCTCTGATCCTGATTTTACAGATCCGAAAGATAAATTGAAGAAATTGAGACCGGTAATTTCCTACCTAGAAAATAAGTTTATGGACTTCTATACAATGGAACAAGATGTAGCAGTAGATGAAAGTTTAGTGAAACTTAGAGCTCGCTTGAGCTACATTCAATACAATCCAAAAAAAAGAGCTCGTTTCGGTGTAAAGTTTTATAAACTGTGTGAATCATCTGCGGGATATTGTGCTGCATTTAAAATTTACACTGGTGAAGACCAAACTCCTGGTTTGCTGTGCAGCGAGGCTGTTGTACTGAACCTTACACAACCTATACAAAATCAGGGCTATAGGCTTTACATTGACAATTGGTATATGTCACCGAGACTATGTGAGATGCTACTAGCTAGAGATACCCATGTTATTGGAACAGTCGATTACAAGAGAACAAATATGCCAGATGATTTTCCAAATATGGAACTGGAAAGAGGTGAAGCTGTAAGAAGAAGCTGCAGTGGGGTATTAGCAATAAGATGGCTTGATAAAAAGTATGTACACGTTTTGTCAACAATCCATGAAGGTGTTCAGTTTGCTGTTGATAAAGAAATAATAATAAGGGGGGAAACAATACAAATAAAGAAACCTAAATCAGTGACTGAATACAACAAGGGCATGCTAGGTGTGGATGTGCAAGACCAGTTTTTGGCATCCCACACAATTATGAGGCGCTGTGTCAAATCTTATAAAAAGATTTTTTTTTATCTGATTGACATGGCGATTTTCAATTCGTTCTGCATTTGGAGGAAGATTCATCAAAAGAAAATGCATTACTCTGACTACAGACTGAATATTGTTGAACAAATGATTGAAAACGTCACACTCCCAGAAAAAAGTTCTCCGGGGCGCCGTTCTTTGCAGGACAATCCCCTGCGCCTACAAAGTAAAGCTTGGGCACATTTTCCAATGGCAATTCCTCCAACTGGAAAGAAAAACCACCCCACAAGAAACTGCAAAGTTTGTTTTAAAAATAATATACGGTCAGAGACACGATACTTATGCAAGAAATGCCAAGTCGCCCTCCATGTGGACACGTGCTTCGAAGCGTACCACACCAAAAGGGACTATTAGAAAAAGAAGAATAGTGTAAGAAGAACTGTAAATAGTGTAAATATGACTTTAAAATAATGTTTTTAACAGTTACTATAATGAACATGACAATGGAAATTACTTAGCCTACATCTTCTCTCATTGGTAAGTTAGCCTACAATAGCTTACTGGTTTTCCGCTACCGCATGCTAAGTTAGCCTAGTTTATTAGTTTTATTTTGTAGGAATACATATTACATACCAAGAAATCTAATTAAATACATAGGCCTACTGTGGGCTACATTTTGTAGAAACTTGTCTATGTTTATTCTGATAACCAAGAGATGTATGCCTACAGAAATTAAAAAAAGACAAGTGGGCGCGTTTTTGCCAACATTTTACCACTTGTAGCGTTTTAGAAAATATTGTGTAAAAAAAAACTAAATATTGTATTTAATTAAATCAAAGTTTTCTATGTAGAGAATTAAATATTCTATACAAATATATAAAAGTTAAAGCATTCTAACATTTTTATGAATGAAAAAAAATGGCTTACTTTCAAAATTTTATATATTTTTATAAATTTGTGAGTATTACATTAAATAAAAAAAAATTCTGAAAAAAATGTTAAAAAGCATTGTAAGGTATAGAGAATTTCATAAGGATTAAGACAAATATAATACAAACCACATTTGGTTGAAAAACAAGAGTGTTATAGGTTTTTAATTAAAACCTTACATTTTGTTGGAATTTAATAGGATCCATAGGGGGCAGCTTGTAATGTGCTTATTAGGTCTCCAATGGGTTAAGAAGCTAAGAATACTGAGGAGGAAAATCTCAGCGTTTAGTTCTAGCATAAAACTCATTTAATGGATTTTATTATTGCTAGATAACCCGGAATACAGGGCCAGTAACAACTTCAAATAAGTCTTAAAAAAATAAAAAAAACTTATCTTTAGGCAAAATTAAAAAAAAATTGATTAAACTCATGCTTCTAACATAAAATGTGAAACATTATACTTTAAGTGGAACAGAATGAGAGAAACACAACTATATATTAAACATTATTGGTTTTGGTTTTTCTTTTCCGAGTCGGTTTGGCTCATCTACCCGACTGATATTCATTATTTTGGTTTTAAATTAAAGGTATGCACGTTGATGAATCACAAATCAACAATAATTATAATTATTTTAGAACTTATCTACAATTAAAGATAGGTAACTCCATTTTTATTCGAGTTATTTGATATGTCTTGGTCTCAAAATAATCCTAGAAATAAAGGCTTTTATTTGAGCTATTGATCATTTGAATCAGGCTGAAAAGTTACTGTTAGGATGCTGTAGATGTTGAAACGTTTCAGCATTCTTTGATTCGTAAGTGTTAAGGGTCATGTGCAGGACATCAACTCGGAAATCTCAGCTCGGGTAACGAAACTTAGCGATACCCGATAGCTCAGCCCGATAACTCAGCAGGTACGATACTCAGCTTCGTTCAAGATACTGTATTACTCAATAAAAAAATAAATAAATTAGATTATTTCTCGGATATTATGGTATTTAATGTTTGATATATTAACTCAATTCTAATCACGTTATTTATTTATCTAAGAATAACCTTCAGTGAAATACCAGCTTTCCTTTGAGTTATTCATTATTTTGCGCTCTGCTGAATCATGAACAACCCAAATTGTGGCGAAAAATGAGCGGTTTAAAATTTATTTATAGTTGAATGATTTTGCTTGAAACCTCAACAGTAACCGTCGATTTTGGCGGGTTTCACCTAGGTACATTTAAACTAATAAACTAAGTAAAAATGTATCAATCATACTAAAAACCACTAGCCCACTTTATATTACAATAAATGTACATTATATACAGAATGTTTCCTAAGAGGGAGAATGACAGTTTAAGGTGGATAGTAAAATAAACTTGTTGTGATATAACTTGATCCATCAGTGATTGAGAGTGTTGTAACTGGAACATAATTCCAGTGCATTTTTAGAAGAGCTAGCCAAATGTAAGCAGCTCAAATTAATCCACAAGACAATTAATTGTCCTGATTTAAGTTTTAATCTTCTTTGAACTAATAGCGGCTAAATAATTTAATTGTCATAAATTAAATTGTAATTTGTTTGTTACCAAAGAATGCAAACCCTTGTTCTGTTAAGTTTAATTTGATTTTCAGTTTGTCTTTGCCTAAATAAAAGTCTTTGTTAGTTAGTTTAAAGCTATTTGGATTTACTTTTGATTGAGTAATAACAGTAGTTGATATTTTTATTTTCAGTTACAATATTTTTATTGTTTTTTTTTTTTTAAATAAAATAAGTGAGGTAATCAAAACAGGGTTCAACACTAAACTATTCAGCCAGAGGGAATCAGAGGAATGATTAAGAATGTAGAGATTCTGAAGGGGTTACAGTAAGTTTCAGTTCCTGTAGATCAAATACTATAGAAATCATTAGAAAATACCGGTAGAATTCAAGCACTGGCTACATGTGAGATACGGGTATGATACAGACAAGGTAAACGTTTTTTTTTTAAGGAAGATACAAGGTACACTAGTACACTAAGATAAGAGTACTCAGATAAGGTATTTGTAAGGTACAGATATAATACAGGTAAATGTAATGTGTATGTATGATGCAGGTAAGTTTTAGGTATACAGGGTGTCCACCAGGCCAACCAGAAAAAAATCTTGAGTAATTCCAAGGCGTACAATTCATACCAGTATAAAAAAATACGCATAATTGCTGAATTTCCCGGTGTTGCTGGTCGGTGGACACCCTGGTATATTACAGGTACACATATAATGTGTAGGTATGATACAGGTAAGGTTAAGGTATGATACTGTAGTAGGTGATGTAAGTTAAATATAAGGTACACACCTGCCGTTGTCCCGGCCCACTCCCCACACCCGGATGGTGTGTATTGGTTGTGTGTTGAGTGTTGTCAGGTTCTCAGGGTCTATCAGCTTCAGAGCTCCTTCATCCAGATCCATGAACAGATCCTTGCCCTGTCAACAATAACCACCACTCATAACTGTACCATAAAAACGCTAATGTAGCAATATAGACATCCTGAATAGAAAAACTTGATTGAGTAGAAATGGTGTTTTTGAATTGGAAATTCTGTACTATGAGGCATGTGCATTGTTCATGATTATATCATAAAAGAGTATTCTTAACAATATATTCTTGGTATATCCATATCATCTTATGTTTTTTTTTTACTTTTATTTCTTGTATTAGTTTACCCTTAGCACTGTTTAATTAATATTTAATCAAATAAAATAAAATATTAAAGAGTAAATAAAAAAAAAACCAGCATAATCATATAATCTACTGTACGTATCTCCCGTATAAGAGACCCAATATCTTCTCTCACGATCACGGCAAAATCTTGAATGTCCTCTTATATTTTAAAGTTATGGCGGAAACTTCATTATTGTATCCCTAAAACATGGCAAAATCCTGAACATGATCACAACGACATCATTATCCCCTCCTGCGATCATGTAAACATTTTTGCAAAGCAACCGATAAACTGAAACCAGCAGTAATTCTTGGCTACGATGTTTTTGCTAAAACGTGGTGAAACCGAGGACTGACCCATCCCTAAAAACAAACAATAATAGCCTAATAATTGTTGATCTAAAACATGTTAATGATTAGGAATCACATATTTCAACATGGGAATGGAGTGCACTCTCCACAGTAGTGCACCCCTAGCCAACCTTTTTACACAGCTCAATAATCATATTACATATAAATTTGCAAAATCTATCCTCAAAAATGTATTGATTTCATTAACACTTTCAGTACTTGTGGATGTTTTCATAACATTTTGCCTCAAGTAGCCTTGTGGACTCACATCGCCCCAGCGGCCAACGTTGTCTATGAGGTCGTTGCGGCCCAGTGACAGGTCCACAATACACTTGTTGACTGCCTTGCTGCTGCGCTCTGGTGTGAGGTCCTCCTCAGCTATCTCTACCCAGCCTAGCGACCGCACGGCAAACCTGATCACCTTGTCCTTGCTGTCAGGCTCTGGTCGCGCTGGATAACTCCTCCGTCTGTCAGTCAAACAACAGTTATTAAGTGTGAGGCCCTCATCAGCTTTGTCTACCCAGCCTAGCGACCACACTGCAAACCTGATCACCTTGTCCTTGCTGTCAGGCTCTGGCCGCACTGGATAACTCCTCCGTCTGTCAATAAAACAAAAGTCATTGAGTGTGAGGCCCTCATCAGCTATGTCTACCCAGCCTAGCGACCGCACAGCAAGCCTGATATCATTGTCCTTGCTGTCAGGCTCTGGCCGCACTGGATAACTCCTCCGTCTGTCAATCAAACAAAAGTCATTGAGTGTGAGGCCCTCATCAGCTATGTCTACCCAGCCTAGCAACCGCACAGCAAGCCTGATATTATTGTCCTTGCTGTCAGGCTCCGGCCGCACTGGATAAACTATCCACATGTCCATTAAACATCCAACATTGCTTGTCAAGTCTTAAAATGATCTTGTCATCAACAACTTCACTCAAGGTTTAAATTGCGCCAATGACCTATGGCTTTTTAGCTAAGTGATTATGCCGTGACCTTCTGGGGCCCATTTCATAATAAACTACAAGTTACAAGTTACAACTTGTAACTTGTAATTTCCATTAGGCGATCAGCTGATTTACTAATAATATTAGTTTGTACTTTATTATAAAAATGGCCCCAGGTGGGGTTTCATCTATCAAGTAAGGAAGCAAAGATGCCTCCTAGGTGAGGGAACTAGAGGTGTCTTTGTACTATAGATACCCCTCCACATACACAAGTGATACAATAATTTTACAATTTAAATGTACCTACCTAATTTACCTTGTCATCTAATCCAATTGGTAGTACATGTCACTGTAGCTACAAGTTGCGTCATTAATATGGCAAACATTTAAAATTTTAAATTTTTTTAGATGTTCATACTTGTTTTTAGCGAATTTCCCATATAGGGAATAAGCTATTACCGTAGTACTCATGGTAAGACCTGGACCCGGGACCAATTTTTTTTTTCGTTTTGAGGTCCCTAGAGGCCAAAAATACCATCCGTTCAAATTCATATATATATATATATATTTATATATATATATATATATGTGTCCGTTAGCGCGATAACTCGAGCAAAAATGATCCGATTTCGATGAAATTTGGTACAAACGTGTAAACCTACGTTTATTCGAACGAGTTCGCGAACCAGCATGATCGGACCATGGGAACGGGGGTTTATGGGGGCTTTTATGGGGTAAAAATGGGTTTTTCCCATTTTTGACCCAAAAAACATAGAATTTTGCAAATTATTTCTAAACTATTTTGTAGAGCTTAAAAAAACAAATAATTTAGTATATTGAAGCATTATAATGCGCCTAATGGTTACGGAGAAAATTCCAAAAAATTGTAAATTTAAAATTCCCATGTTATTCTTATGGAGAATAAGTAAACTGTTGTAGTTTGCTTGTTTATTAACATATTTTGCCCAAATTTGGAAAATGTTTTTATTTCTTACTAACTATTGACATTTTACATAAAAAACACTTTTACCCCCCTGTTGCAGCAAACCTAAGTATGTGTTAAACTGATTCTATTTAAATAGGGAATAAATGCAATATTTTTAAGGAGACAATTTAGTGTAAATCCAATCAGGCAATTGGAAATTCGCTTAGTCTGCAGGTTTGCTGCGGCGGGGGTATTTTTTTTTTTAATAAGTATGTTTACATTTTTGATACACTAACAAGGCCATCATATCAACAGTAAAACTTGCAAGTTCAGTGAAATCTACAACCAATGTGGATTACATGGCAAGATGAATTATGTACCATTATATTAATTCTGTTAATAATCCAAATAACATCAACATGAATTTTAATATTTTTTTAGACTGAAGAGCTTTAAAACAGTATTAAATTGTTTGGTTTCAAGACTAACTGCTGGAATTTCTCGGAGACAACAAATAAAAATAATAATCAGGGGTATCGTGGTTCTGAAGATGGCCTCCAAATTGAAATATTTTGTGTTGAAAATATCAAAGTTCAAACTGAGTAAAATCTGACAAAAACGTTTGAAAAGCTCAGATGATTTTAATCCCCAATCAGAACAGCTAAACTGTGTGTAGGGTGCAGAGAGAGTGGGTGGACTTAGTTAGCACTCGTGTGTAAGGGAAAGCCCACTGAAGCAAGGTTTGAAGCAGCCTATAATAAATATCATGTGTCCTTTGAGGGTTGATTTTCTTAGAACACTTTAAAAATATCCATAACAAACAGAATGTTTCGAAGAATTGTTAATTTTTCAAGTCTAATTTTGGAACTATTTTATATAACTGGCATTTAACTATTATGAAGTAAAGGTAGGAAATTAAATATTTAATATTAATAATATTTCTGTATGAATTTAACATGTTATCCAAATTAAACAAAGTTTTAATGGGGTGGAGTGTAAATGAAACTTTCATTAATTTATGTCAATTGGAATATTGTTTACAATTTTTCAGTATCTCCCTCCTAGGATTGCTATTAGTGTCTTCAAAGTGGAACAATATTATTTTGGTTTTTTGTGCCTCCTTTAATACATCTGATCTTGATTTTTTATGTCTGGTGGTAAGGCCATTTTGCTGAAATAGACAAGATGTCAGCCAAGAGAGAAGGGTTTTTTTTAAATAAAAGGCGGGAGAATATATTGGAATAATCAATACTGTTTGGTCTGATGATGCTCAACGACCAACATATGAAACTGATTGTACCACATTAAGTTAGACTTAAAAAACAAGTTCATGAATAAAAAATGCATGCTAAACATTCCTTCAATTGAGAAAATTATAGTGTTTTATTGATTGTTGGAGTGTTTTGTTTTCTAATGATTAATTTGAGTATTCCGTGCAGTAGTGATCTCCAGTAAATGCGTAATTTGCCCTAATTACGGAAACACCTATGAACATTTATTGTCTTTTGGCATCACCTGTGACCTTCTCACGAGATCACAGCAACCTAGATGATAGACTGTTCAGTTCACCGACGTTTTAGGCTTCAGATAATCAACGCTTTACTGTAATTACTGGAATATTTGGGTTTGCGGGACGGTTGGTTTAATTTCTAGGGGTTTCCAGGATATTTCATGGCAATACAAGAATTCCTGTAGGATTCCTGGTTTTCCTGGAGCGTAGACACCATAGAGTGTTTGCTGTTGTAGTGTAAGGTGGTATAGTGATGGTAGACTTACTTGAATGCCAGGTCCTCCTTCTTGCGGGTGTCCAGGTCCTCCAGGGCATAGCTGGTGTTGCTTCGAGTCACCAGACTCACCACTCCTGTCTGCTGGTAGGCACTCAACACCTGGCAACCATAAGACTTCTTGTATAGTCACAGCAGAAGTTACAACAAAACATGTTTGAAAAATGCTTTAAAAATAGTATCTTTTTATAAAAAGACAAAAAATATACTATTTTTTAATAGAGAGTTGTTTAATATGCTTTAAATGTACATACCGATTCCGCGTCTTTGACAAGTGGTGTACGAGGTTCATTCTTGCCGGTGCTGTCAGACTCTGGAGGGTCTCGCTGTATCGTACCACTCTTGATGTGCCAGTAATAGGGACCATCATTATCTGTCAACAGAGAAAATATGTGATTTAAGGCCAATGAACGTAAATCAATGTAAAAGTTTCTCATTTTTTGATAGGATAGGATGTGTAGATTACAAAAGATGAAATGCAGATTATAATAGGGAATGGTTATACATTTTTAAATTCATAACCAACTGGGCTGGATTATATTAATAGAACTAAGTATCCTTAAGTTATGCAGACTAGAAACAAATTTTACCAGTTTTACAAAGTTTACCAATTACATATTGTTAGGTTAGATTTAACTGACTGTAGTTTTAAGTTTGCTTATTTGTGAAGAACACAGGATCAAAAGTGATAGTAATGCGACAACTTAGCTTTATGTTTCATTTAGAATATAGGTCCCGGGTCCCACCGTACACAAGTCTTAGGCGATGGACAGTGTTATCTGTACATAGCTGTTGTACCGTAGTTACCTTCATGTCTCTCCCAGCCAGCTGGTAGGTCGTGGTTTGGGACATCAGGTGACGGAGGAGCAGAAGCCACCTTTTCCGGTGTCCCAGGTGGAGATCTACGCTTGACTGGAACTGCATACAAGTCGTTGTTGAGTTGTCCGGGAATGTGTGGTATTGATCTGTTGATCTCTTTGGTCTTTTCAAATGCACTGAAACCCACAAACACACACCTTGATAACCTGGTAACATTATTTAAAATAAAACATTGTACAAAATCTATATATTAATAGACAAGCATGTTTCTTTCAAACCTTTTTTTTCAGCTCGTGTGTATTGCAGGGAAAATCTACGCATACTGTTAAAAAGATATATTTCTGTAGATGTACGGAATCCCTTAATTAATTAAAATAGGCTCAAAAAATAAGCACAAAAAATGAATTTTAAATCTTAAAAAATTAACATGGGCCTTATGGGTGTTGGATGTTTTAACCTACATGCTGGTTTAAAGCAAATTGAAGAAATTCCATTACATGTTTTATTTACAGTGTGGGGTGAAAATAGAGAAGTCTGTACATTACATTATTTTGGTAAAGTTTGCGACCACTGGACGACCTTTAGTCTAAATTAATCCAAATACATCTCAGAATATATTTTGAGAACTGCAGAAAGTATTATCAAAATCCTTTAAATAGCTTATATTTTGTGATGGGTTGATATTTACTACTGTAAAACCGAAAAATGTTGGATAATAGTACTCCCACTATATTGTTAATCCAACATTCATCTCGACTGACACATAATATCAACAGTAGCCTATATCAGAAGATTATCCCTTACTTTGTATGATCCTGAACCAAGGTTTATGTGGGAGATAATGTAAGGATAATAGATACAGAAAACCCCTCTTAATACTTTTATGGTTTCTTTTGTGGTTAAATTATCATATTCACAATCACTTCGGCGTATTTAGCATATTCTTGCATTTGATGGATATATATCTACCCTGCCTTTTTAAAAGACAAAACTTGAAAATTTCAAGATCTGTTACTGTCATAAAATAAAATAATATACAATAAAACGTAATATACATTTTAGGCTGAATTTGTTTTGAAGGCATAATTTTGACTCCCTTTTAAGAAGAAAAATTTGCATTTTTAATCATAACTCAGACCAATGTTTGGTAAAAGTTTTTATTCCTTTGATGTTTCTACTGTTAAAAGCTTGTCAAGGTGATAAATTTTATGCTCATATTTATAAATTGGATTACAATTCATTTAGCTTATTCCCGAAACTAAGCTCCAGACTTCCTCTATTAAATCCCGCTTAACATGTAACCCATGTTTGTTGATTATCCTTTTTCCAAAGGTTTGTCTTTAGTACAATACAAACATAGCATAATTATATTGTACAACTACACTGCTGTCCTTACTTGTTGTGCTCGGTCGCCTCTATGAGGTCTGGCTTGTTGAGGTGTAGAGTGGTGGATGTGGTGAGGTCGAGGTTGCCTCGGAGTCCGCCTCGGTTGAGGTTCAAGTTGAGAGTGTTGTCCAAAACTGCGGCACTGCCCCTGCAACACCAACAATCATCATACACCTGCTGTAGAGCTAGAGCACTGCCCCTGCAACACCAACAATCATCAAACACTTGCTATAGAGCTAGGGCACTGCCCCTGCAACACCAACAATCATCATACACCTGCTATAGAGCTAGGGCACTGTCCCTGCAACACCAACAATCATCAAACACCTGCTAGAGCTAGGGCACTGCCCCTGCAACACCAACAATCATCAAACACCTGCTGTAGAGCTAGGGCACTGCCCCTGCAACACCAACAATCATCAAACACCTGCTATAGAGCTAGGACACTGCCCCTGCAACACCAACAATCATCAAACACCTGCTGTAGAGCTAGGGCACTGCCCCTGCAACACCAACAATCATCAAACACCTGCTGTAGAGCTAGGGCACTGCCCCTGCAACACCAACAATCATCATACACCTGCTATAGAGCTAGGGCAGTGCCCAGTGCTGGATAAGAACACAACAGCCAAGGGAGGGAAACCAAGAATTTTCACACTCAGAATATTATTTACCGAAGACAATTCTAACAAAAGCTCTGGAAACATATATACAATAATATTTTATGTAGGAATATGATTTTGAAAGAGCAATATCTAGAAACCCTTCTATAAAACTTACATAAAATCAACGCTGATTTAGAAAATAATATTATGACTGAAAGTTTTACAAAGATCCATGTCAAATTTTCGGAGTGCGATATATTGGAGAAAAATATAGCAAGTCGAAAGCCTCTGAAACACATATACTACAGATCCTCGGAAAACACTCATAAAACAATACCTGAGTCAACAAATTATTTTATTTTAATAAAATCTAAAAATCCTCTAAAAAACTCCATGAAATAGGATAGTAGCATTCCGATTCAAAAAATGATTTCCTTACAGAAAAATCTAAAAAGCCTGTGAAAACCCATAGATAAATTACCTCCTGAGTCAGACAATGATGTTAGTACAATAAAAACAAAATACCGCCTTCATTGAGAAAATTAGCCTACTGAAAAATCCTCTGAGAGAGCTTGTAATTGAATAAACTATTGATTACATTAATTTAATTTCCAACATGAATAATTTACACTAAAATTACCATTACATGAATTACAAGCCATTTCAGTTACTATTTTAGTGTGTAATTCATTAAACTTTTTAGATTTAAGTAAATTCTCCATACTAATGTGTAAAATCAAAATGTAAAAACACTCCTTATCAAAGAAGAACTTCATTCTGTAAGGAAATGAAAAGAAATGTATTACAGAAGTCCATGTAGCTGTTTACAAAAGAAGGAATGAAAATTACTTTTCTTTTGACTTTCACATAAGTTTTGTTTAAGCTTAATGCTTTTCTTGTTTTACAAATTACATAAACCATACTAACAGTGTATTTATGACCTTGTGTTTTAGTAATATTGGCAAATCAAACTGTGGCTTACATTTTTATTATGAAACATTTGCAGTAAGATATTATTTAACAATTGATAATACTGTATAGATGATTATATTAATTTTACCTGCTGATATTTATGTTATTTAATTATTTAAACTTGTATTATTAATCTCACTTAAGCAATCAGAATTGTTTTTCCTTTAAGTTATCATTTAAGGTCATCATTTAGTGTTTAAAAGATAACCTAAGCTAAGCTCTAATAAGTTTTGTAGTATTCAAATATCCTATACATATAAACCTGTTATGTATCTATAGAGCTGTTGATAAAGGTTCACCTTTACAATCTACATAAGGAAACAACTAAACCTGATTGCTCATATAAAACTAATAATATATTTGATTAACTATTTATTTGTAACATTAGTATAACGAAGGCCTATGTTGTTGCTAGACAAATCATCAACAAATATTTTTATTTCTTTGCTGCGACCATAAGCATTTGATTCTAAAATTATTTAATATTACAGTTAAGAGGAGACAAAAAGACACGATAATTATGATTACAAATCTGTTGCCCTACTAAAATAAAAACCTCTTGATGGATTGAATTGTTTAAAAAATGAATACAGCTTGACTTTGTAACCCATTTTACTTTATAACAAAGCCATCATTACAACATAATGTTGTACACCTATGGGTAACTGTTAATCCACAAGTTTATTCTAAGATAGGCCTTAATTGAATTACCTATAGAAACACCAGCAAGATATCTTGACCATGACATCGGCTTCGACAGTACCCGTTGACTGACCGAGTCCTACCACATGTAGCAGATATAAGTAACCGATGTTGCGTCAATCTCATTTCCCAGAAATCGACATTGTTCCGCCCTCTGGCACCTAAGGGTTCTCGTCCTGAGTTATTTTCACCCACGGCCAGATAGTGCAAAACGAAAAGACGTCACACTTCCTTGAGAGCTGTATTTTTAGGGGTACTCAGCAACCCTCCAAAGGTGGCTCTTTCGGTTCCTCCCTCCTCGAGATAATTTATTCTTTCGCGACTTGTTTTGAAATTATTTTTCTCAAGTGGAATATTTGTATTTGTGTAGTAATAATTAATAATTTAAAATTTCTCTGGTAAAATAATGTTGTTTTGCAATCCCCTCGGCAGGTGTAAAAAATGAACAACCAGTAAATAAATTAATGACTTTGATGAAATATGGTTGGATAAAAAGTTTAAGTTTCTTTTTATAAATAAAATATAAATATGATAGACGTTTACTATATTGTATTACAAGTTTGAGATTGATAGTAATCATCACAGCGAGACTTTAAATTTTAATACAGTATCAATTGAAATCAATATTCCTCCAAGTGAGACACAAACACGTTCTGGGTACTGTAGTATGTTTTTACAGATATTATAATAGTATTTTTGTCTTGCAAGCCCTCATGGTGTACATACATTTATTGTTAACATTCTCAGTGCTGTAATATATATATATATATATATATATATAGACTATATACATAAAATATGTCACAATATCGTCGTCACGATAAGTTTTGAACAATGGCTTTTACAAATAAAGTGGATAATTCGAACAAACCAAAAGTGTTGCCATTGGTACAAATTCTTATTTGAGCTACAACCAGATTTATATTAACTCAGGACCTTGGAACATCAAAACGAAAGCAACTTTCCAAAAGATGTAAAAGTGTATAGCAGGTCGTCAAAATGTCAAATAAACCCAAACCTACTAATTGAGAGTTGCATTCAAAACACTTAACACTTTCTGAAAAGTTCAAGCCTTCACATGTAGGATATCGTGTAGTAATGAGCTTAACACGGCATGATGTTTTAATGACTTTCAGCAATTAACTGTTTAAACGTAACTATTCTTGTTTACATATTCCAAACCGTTCAATGTTGATTTGGTTATTTTATTATAATTTTACATCTATAAAAGTGAATAGAAATGTTATTGCATCTAACATTAACGGAATATATATTGTATATATTTGTCTTCGTAGATTCAGTTCAAAATTTATTTTATGCTATAAATAATATCAAAAAATAATCATGCAACTGATATAATATGCCACGAAAATACTATGCAAAACTGTATCTAAGTGTCTCATTAGGTAAGAATTTTTATCAATTTTAAATAACATTTTTACATAGATATGTTCACATTTATAGGAGGACAACTAAATCTTTTAAATATGAATATACTAACGTGGGATAGAAGTATAGAATGTGTTAAATGAGAATAAAGGTTAGGAGGTCATCAAGGAAAGGTTTAGGTAATTTAAGGTTTAAGGTTGAAATTAAAGGTACAGTACCGAATAGATTGAATTGTTATAATGTCAAACCATCGTCTATCTCTGACTTGAGACCGAGACCGCAGCTGTGACGGCTCAAGTGGTCCCCTTCGCTCCTGATCATATGATTACTGACATCATCCACGGCTGGTCGTTTAAACTGTTCTGGGTGAGAACAACTGAATCAAATTACCAAAAATGACTGACATCAGAGTCTGTTTGGGACGTATACTTAATTCTGAACGACGCATTTGCTCTACAAACTCCTGAGTAGTAGTTTGGTACAGTTGTGTATTTACATTTACATGAGCGATTTTGTGTGGAATTTGAGAGTTAAAAAATAAGACACGTGTGTGTATGAAACAGTTAACACATAAAGGTATATTTTACATGATTATATTTGTCTACTTAGCCGTAATCCTATCTATTCAATGCCAAAGGCTACTCCAGATTAAATCCCATTTGAACTGTTATCAATTACCAATTACCAATTATCAATCATTGAGATGGTGAAGCCACTCAGGTGCGTATTTTAACACAAATATGAGTGAAGGATGAGTGTAGAGAATGGTGTGTGATGACCTGTGTAGTTTTGTTACTGACTAAGATCAGCGATTTCATTAGTCAGGATCATTTATTTAAAGCCCAATGATCAGGAACAGCTGGGTCGCTGGGTCCAGTTTCAAACAATCAAAAAGCTACTGACTTTTCTCAAGATCGAACCGGCGACCTTTTGATTACTAGGCGAGCACTATAACCACTCAGCTACACAGCCACTGTTTAGGTATAAAATAATGTAACCGAGAGTTAAACACGGACAACGAATGGGTAAAATCGTTACTACTGACAACACAGATTAAAGTAATTCAGTATAATCTACCGTAAAGTAGGCATACGATTGAACTGATAATGTGTTAATCGTTATGTTAGCATAGCTAGTCTTGTTCCGAGGAGAACATTATTCAATGAGAGTGGGCCGATATTAAGTTATCAAGTTCAATATTCTTCTTTGGTATTTTGTGAAGGTAGATGTAGACACAAGAGATGTCATTGTTAACAAAAACATACTCTTTTGAGTTTGGCAAGAACAAAACTTCATATGAAATACAATTGATGGTTTTTCACAGCAACACACTCAACTCTGTGGATCATTAAGGAAAGTGGTTCTGTTCTAAAACTGGTTACAAACATTAGCCTAACATTGGATACTGTCTGTAGACTTGTCATCTCATATTTAAACCTAATATAAAGTATACTTTAATGTTAATTTAATGTCCAGTAAG